GGTGATAATCTTGTTTTCTTGTGCCCAATAATGCATAATTTCATTTGATAAACACGTTTAGATTGAATGGTAATTTATAATCAGTCACAAGAACGTCGAATATGAATCACTTGAAAAAACACGGGGGTGCTTAACTTTTTTCCAGGTGTATACATATTTACACTCAGCTGAAAGTAAGGCAGAAGAAACCCTAATGTGAAATTTCACAAGTACAAGTTACTACAGAGGGTTGAATATGTTAAACTAAACAAATTGTGGAGCCTCACAAAATCGTTACAGTCTATACTGATATGTTTGGTCATATTCTATCTTATGATTGTGTACCTTAACAATAACCTTAGAGTATAGTTTCTATTGCAAAAGGCTCCACTGTAAGGTTGTCATGTCCAATGTATATAACTCTTCCCCACTTGCTTTTCATAATCTATCTAGTTTTGAGAACAGCGGCTTTCCAGCAACCATTTTAACAGTACAATCTCTTACCTGACGCTTGACTGGTATGTCTTTGTATGGAATAACATGAATATCTGTTTCATTTTTTTGCTGCTTCAGATATGTCAAAGTTGAATGAGAGGTAAGACTACATGCTTATTTTTGGAGAGCCCATGCTCTACTGGCCTACAGTCCCATTTATGAGAAAACCAATGTCTATGAATTTTTGCATTATATTAGCAGAATTGTTAATTTTATGAAAACTATAAAAGAGAAGAAACTACCAACATTACAATGTTCAAAATGTTTGTTTTAATTTTGATTTTCTTCTTTGCTTCTTCCAATAATGTCTAATTTCCTATAACAGTGAATCATTTTTGAAATTATTTGATTGCATTTGGCAGCCATCTTTTCTGTTTGCTTCACGAACGACAACAACAAATTAAAGCCCTATTACTTTCCTCAGGAGAATTTACAATTGTAACATAATGTATGACTAAATATGGCCTTTCACACATGTGACGAATAACATGATTAAGTAGATTTGCACATGCACCTATGTGTGCATATGCTACTGCAGATGTCAAACAAAAATAACTGTAGATTATGTTGTTTGGGATATGTGGACAGCTTTTACTATTGACTTTTGTGTTCTTACCCCTTATAAGATGCCACACTTTGATAACCAAAGCTGAGATATAATTTGTTACAGATCTTTTACTGTATGGTCCCGATACTCCAGGTTGATCTATATTTCTTTGTTTTCCAATGCCATCTGGGAAATTCTAGATCCCCAATCTGAACACATCTTTATGATCTAAATATATGAATATTTTGTGTTGAAAATGGCTTTTACATACCCTTCCAAACATAAATGAAATTTTGGTTTCATCACACTGCCCATGAAGTGCCAAACAATGTCAAATGTTTTTTTTTATACAAACAATTCCACTGCAATCTTATATCAGCTTTTAATTGCCATATGACTTGTAGATATGCATATTCAAAATAGTTTAAACATAAAGTATTTAACACTATATTCAGGACAACCTTAGAAATATAGAACTATTCAATATCTAGATTTTATAAACAAGATCTCAGAATGTTTTAAATTATGAATCACTGAACAAAATACATCATATTTTCACAATTTAAAAAAGAAACTAGATGCAATATTTTCTTCAATCTTTTCAGCCTTTTTGCTTGATACTTACCATATGGACTTCTAGCCACAGCAGGTCTGGTAGTGGTGAGAGGTTCTGAAGTACCTTGAGTGTTTTCAGCCATCACACGGAACTCGTACTCAGTTCCTTCAATTAATTTTGGTACTGTGCAGGATGTACTGTTTGCTGGGACATGTAATACAGCTGGAACCCACACTCCTCCGTGAGTCTTGTCTCGTTTCTCAACTACATAACCGCTACAAGAAAGCAAACAAATATTTTTAAGAGAAAACAAATATAGCAACAAATACTAAAAGATCTAGTTTAGAAAAATTTAGAAAAACTTATCATCATTTGAAGATAAACACAAAAATCATCTTATAATGTTTCTATGCAAAGGTACCTTTTTTTTTTCTTTTTGCTGATTTATTTTGTTGGACAAAATCAAATCAAATCATCTACATGTATATTATAAAATGAAAGTAACTGAAAAGTGTTTTGCAGGTTGAGAAAATAGAATAAATGCATCAGTATATCTTCCAACAGTAATACACAAACACCCGGTAGCTTACATTAGGTCTGAGCCTCCACTGTCTTCGGGTGGTTTCCAAGACAATGTTATATTGTCTTTGTCAACCTTATCAACATTCAGTGGTCCTTCTGGAGGAGCAGGTTTGTCTATTAAAAAAACAATATTGTTTTTAAAATTAATTGAATCTGTATCTCATATACTATAAACCATTGCTTGAATTCTTATTTTATGGGAAAGAAACTATCAATTCCAATATTAGTCTTACCAGTTATTCCTTTTTTAAATCATGCTTGTGAACAATCAAGTGAAATAAACATTTAAGAACTGAGCAACTCCACAATTTTGCATTAAAAGCTCAATCCCACTGCTAGATATACCTTTTCAATAATCATAATATATTTAGATTCTGGAGGACAACTTTTCTATATTAAAATACTGATATGATATATCAAGAAAATTCACAATTTTTTTCCCATCCCCCTGAACCTCTCCTATATTTTTATACATAACAAATTTTTTGTGCACTTAAATACATATTTTCTCTTCCAACTGCAAAAACTATCAAACATCCAAGTGTTTAAGTTTTCAGAACTAAAGGAGATGTAAATATTAGTGTAAAACTGTAAGTAGATCACAAGTGTTTCATTACCAGAAGAAGTGCAATTTAAAAAAATGTTGTGTAGAAGTTCATTGTATGACTTGAGAAAATAAATGACACCAAGTTTAGTTTTCTTCAACATCTGTGAATCATCTGTTATTTAAAAAAAACTGACTTGAAAGCCTCATACAACAACACTACATTAGAATTTTTATAACCTGATGTATTAGAAAAAAATTAAACCACTTAAATACCAATATATATCCAAGTGGGTCTCATTTTTCATTAAAAAAAATAAAAAATTCATGATCATCAAAGACAGTTTCTCAGCTAATATAAAAAATAAATTTCATGTAAAAACTTACCAAGAATAATGACTGTTAGGGTGCCAGAATCTTTTCCACTATCATTAGTCAGAGTTAAGGTGTAAGGCCCACTGTCTTGCCTTTTGGCATTTACAACATTAACAATTGTGTATTCTTCAAAAGATGAGATGGTGATTCTATCATCAGATGTTAATTTTTTTCCATTCAGTGTCCAAACGACCTCTGGAGGTGGCTGACCAATAAACTTGACCTCTGTGTTGACTGTACGCCCTATCTTCACCTTAAGTTCTTTCATTGGAGTGAGAATTTTTGGTGCCACTGGAGGAAAAAGAACCAAGAGTCAATAAGATTAGAACAGCACTTCAAGCACCATGCAAAGCTCTTTGAAAAACTGTTCTGTTTTCCTCAGACTTCTACATATTCTTTGCTTTCACTCATAAGTTCATAGAATTACATCAACACTATATAAGAATTTCATAAATAAAAAAGATCTAAGCAATCAATTCTAAAATGCATTACAAAACCATTCAACTACTCTATAGAAGATATATATATTTCATTATATTTTGTAACACAATTAAATCATGAATTTTATTATCATACCAGACTAACTAGATCTCTTTAAAACCCCTTTACATAAATATATTTGGCAATTTCATGTTAAAACCAGTCATATTTTTAAACTAGATATTAAAAAAACCTGGATTACTTACATTATATTTATATTACTTACATAACTATTACTTACATTATATTTTGTAACACAATTAAATTATGAATTTTATTACCATACCAGACTGACCAAATCTCTTTAAAACCCCTTTACATAAATATATTTGGCAATTTCATGTTAAAACCAGTCATACTTTTAAAACTAGGTATTAAAAAAAAAACCTGGATTACTTACAAAATCTGGGTTTTGCAGTGACCATATCCGATGGCTCACTGGGTTCTCCTTCTCCACCATCATTCTTAGCAACAACTCTGAATTCATATTCTGTTCCTTCCACAAGATTGGGTACAGTTCCTTTAGTTTCAGTAGCAGGAATTTCAGCTGCTTTGGACCAGTGTGGAGAGCCCCGCTCCTTCTTCTGAATGATGTAACTAGTGATAGGAGATCCTCCATCATCTTTTGGGGGTGTCCATTCTAAATCCACATGATCGCTATCCCAGTCAGTAACCTGAGGTTTACCAGGAGCAGTGGGTTGCTCTTTAAAACAAACATAAATATTATAGTATCCTCACTGTGATATATATATATATATATCAACTTATTTTAAAAACTTATACTATTTAATAAATGTTCAATACAACAAAAATAACTTACATATTAAATATATTTTGGCTGCTTTTGTAAAAAAAAAAGGATGCAATTTTTCTAAACACTCTTAAGCTGCTTTATTTTTATTGTGCAGAATAGACTGTCCAAACTTAATGCAAATGAAATAAGGAAATAACCATACCACATGGATCTCTGGCAATGATTGGTTCTTCATTTTCCAAAGAATCAGATTCTCCAACTTCATTTACTGCACGAACACGGAATTGATATGATTTCCTGTGGACAAGTTTTCCAACTTTATAGTTCTGGTGAGGCGTCTTGCCTACATCTACCCATGTTCCCCTAGAAACATCCATCTTTTCAATGATGTAATACTTAATGGGCACTCCACCATCATCCAAAGGAGCCTTCCAACTCAGATGTGCAGAGTTCCTCGTTACCTCATAGACTGTCAATGGTCCTTCAGGTGGTGAAGGACGATCTAAATCCATGCCAAGAAACAATCTATGTTAACTTGTGTGATTTTTAAATTTGTATTTCTAGTAGATGTATTTGAATTTTCCTCACTATCTTTTGTGTTATCAGTATTATATCATTAGTAACCTGTGTAAAAATAGCCATCAGTAGAATGGCTGCCCCCCCCCCCCAAAAAGGTCGTTTTTGTTTTGGTGTGTGTTGAAAAATATGTATGCGTGTTTATGTATTTTGTGTTGCTTCATTTTGCAGAAAATTATACGTTTTATTTTTGAAATAGTGGCCTTGACCTTTTAACCCCAAAGAAAAGTTATCCATGGAGTTTGATTAAAGTCTGTTTATAACTATTTTCAAGCAGAAAATAGATGTCTACAAATGGATGGATGGACAATGTTATCCCTATATATCCCACAAACCTTTTTGGTCAGAAAAATAAAAGACAAATATTTATATTTAGGAGTAACAACAGTCACTAAATGTAAAATTATATTTAACTCATCACTAACCATAAAAAGCTTATTCCCTTTGTCACTTTGTTGAAAACGCTTTCACACTCCTTTTTTGGTAATGCTCAACAACATACAGCATCACTTAGTAACAAAACTATCACCTGATTGTTCTTAGGCCAACTATGGTGTTTATGTTGAATGCTCAATGTTCATGTTGATTTGTAAGAAAGGTTTGTGTTTATTCTTTATTTTTTGATAACTTCAGTGATATAACATAGTTTAATTCAGAAGTTTTATAACATTAAGTTGTAGCCAAAAGCAAAATAAAATTTACCAAGTAGTGTTTCATTTAAAACTTATGTTACAGTTACGTATTAGGTCTAATGCTTAAATTAGACTACTAATAGGCCTACTATTACTCATGTTATAGGGTCAGTGTTTAAAAAGTTTTATGTGTTGAATAAATGGTAATTAATAAATATTCTTTGGGTATTTTAACATATATATATTATCTACTTGGGATTAAAACATAAAAAAAGATATTTATCACTACCAAATATCTTTTAATTTTTGTACAGTCGAAAGAGTTGAAAATCTGTATTGGAATGACTGCACCATGCTTTCTACTTTCTGACCTAGATTACAGTGAAAAGGAAAGAATGCTATTTAAATCTCTTTCAAAGTGCACATGTCCTTTTGTTCATGATAACATTTCATTTTACTGCATAGTTTTACTAAAAATGTGGTGATTAAAGAATTACTTCGGGACTGATGAAATAAGTGAAGAGTAAGTACATTTTGGAAGTACAGACAAATTAGTTTTAGTTAAATTCTGTAATTTTCGTTAATCATTCAACAATGGTTTCCCATCATTTTTGATGGGGTTTGATAGTAGTTTCTTTATAAATAAGTATATTTTTGCTTCGTCAATAATAATTCCCAAAAGGTCCATAAAATACTGCTAATTATTATTTTAAACTATAAAACATTAGGATGTAAAATAAAAGTTTAAAAATTTAAAAGAATGTTTATAATGATTATACATTTTTTTCTTTATATAAATAATCGTACCTTAAAAGCAGAACCTCAGAAGTGTGATTTGCTCCAATCTTAGAAGACACAAATTCATAACAAACCACAATGTTTTAAAAACCAGAAGTGTTTTTATTTCACCTAAAACTTACTATGTATAATTTTAATGAAGAACATATAAAAAATATAGATTTTATGATTAAGCTCCATTTTATTAATTGTATGTACTTACCCATAACAGTAACATTAGCAGATGCACTGGTCTTCCCGTAACTGTTTTCCAGAACTAAAGTGTACCTTCCACTGTCAGAACGCAAAGAAGACTGGATGTCCAGAATAGTTTGTCCAGCAGTAGAAGTAAGTTCAACTCTTGGGTTTCCAACTACTGACTTGTCATTGATTTGCCATGTTACTCTGGGTAACGGTTCTCCTTTAACTGGTATACTGTAGTTAATTGGTCTACCTGCACGCACCTTCTGGTCATGAAGAGCTGTTTTGTCTAAAATTGGAGCATCTACAAAGAGGCAAATTTCATAAGTTAAGTATATATAAAATAAATACCACTAACAAATTTTAAAACCTTAAACTATGATATAGTAGAAAACTAACAACATAATCAAGAAGGTAAGTTAAAAAAATAAATATTAATAAATGAAATATTATACATTAAATGGAGACATTACCAACTGAGGAAAATGCCAGGTTACATATTTTTTCTAGCTATCTTCTTAATTATTGTGTTATAAATTTCGTAGCATAAGATGTGCAAAAAAAAATATTTTAAGTCTATCCTTTGTTGTATATGTTTCAGCTCGCAGGGTATTATTTCACCTAAATAACAAAGTGAAAAACCTGTTCAACTTCTGGTGTTTTTAATACATTTCTTTCAACTAGTCCAATATGGATTTTATGTTGCTTCTAAAGGCCAAACAGGAAACATATTGTTACGACAGCGAAAGTCGCACGACAATGGGATCATGCACGCTGGAGTTTCTTGAACGATCATGAATTTGCCCGGCAGCTCAAGTGTTATCTAGATGCCCCCTTTTTTAGTATATACGCCTGGCAGAGAAAGGCAGCTGGAGACAGATAGATAACTGAGTCAACCGAATTGTGTGTGTTTTGCAGTTGTTGCATAGAGCGAAGTTATTGAGCTTGTGAATCACTGTGATTATAGCGTGTATTATAAAAGTTGTTAAGTTTAGAGTGACGAGGTACGTACTGACTGTGAAATTCTGTGTATTACAAAGTTTGTATCGAGAAAGAATAAACTAGTTTTAATCAAGAAAAGACTTGTATTGCTGAAGTTTCTCAGAAAGAATTGCTATGGGAAATTAACAAACAAGCAGATATGCAACAATATTTAAAAGTCTATTTGAAATGTTGTTTCAATTGTTTGCAATGCTAAGGTCATTATGTATAACAACACACAAAGACATACACATCTTTAATGAATGCTGTTAAATTATGTTGTTTTGCAACCAAAACATCAAAATATTTTAAATTATATAAAACAGTAGTTCCCAACCTTTTCTTAACTGAGGATCAGCTATTTCACGTATAATACTAACTTGTTAAAGTACTTTTAAATTAGATTGTAAAACAATATACTACAGTTGCTATATTTAAAAATATATTTATTTTTTAACCTACTTGGAGATAGGTCAAAATCTTTCTGTGAACTGATAGTTGGGAACCACTGATTTAAAAAATTATAATCATACACTATATTATTTCATTACATATGTTCTTTAACAGTTTTATATATAAACATATGGTATTTTACAAAATAAACTGTTCCTATTATTAAGGGTGTTAATACTCTTCTCTCTGAAACTGTAACACACAAAATAAAACATTGAAAAAAAAACATCCATTTAATATTACATAAGAACCTCTAAAGACACTGTAAGAACATAAAAAATAATTAAACCTTAATCAGTTAGGCTTTAGTCACCAAGTATCCAGTATCTCGTATTCTAAGCACTCATTCTGAATTTTAAAAATTTAATATTTTTTTCAAACTTACAGAAACGAGGCTTAGCAATAACAGATTGTGAAGGATCACTAGGATCACTTGGGCCACCTTTGTTGACGGCAACAATACGGAACTCATATTCTTCACCTTCCTTCAAACTTGGAACAGTAGCCTTGGTTGCATCACCTGGTACTCGAACTGCCTCAGCCCACACGGGACTAGACTTAGATTTCTTTTCAATTATATATTCACTTATAGGGGCACCACCATCATTACGAGGAGGTCGCCATTCAAGATCAACATGGTCTTTATCCCAGTCAGTAACTTCTGGAGGCATGGGCTTATCAGGTTGGTCTATAAAATGTCAATCAAAGTATTCACACACATTCAAGGTAACTGTCTTATCAACATATAATTATAAGAAAGACATTAAACATCCCTAAGTTTAACCTCATGTAAACCACATGTATCAATATAACATTAAATTTAATAAAACATATTTTATTCAGTGCTGCTGAATCTTATGACTTTTGTAGTTGAATATTTTAACCGATTTACAGAGTTATAATCATATACTGTTATTTCTGTCATATATAATTTTATGAAGTGTCATACTATTACATTTTCTGTACATCACTCTTGAAATTCTCAGGGAAGTCAACATCAACAAGTATACGCAAACAATTGTTTTGGACAGCTACTTATTAGATAACTTTTGATAACATAAAATGATATTGCAACAAGTTTTAAATTAAACTTGCTTGAAGTAAAGATTTTTTTAAACATATTTAACATACTTTGTGTTTAAGTAAGGTCAAATTACATAATAATCACAGTGAAAACAACCAAACTGCATGAAATTTAGCACAGATTTAATAAACAGTATCTAATTTTAGCTCTAAAAAAATGCATAAAATATAATTTACTTTTTCAATCATTTTTTACCTTGTGAAAATAAATATTTGTTTTTGTCTTTATTGTTGATAAGAGAATTCCATTTCTACATATCCAGTTTGTTTAAACTTGATTTGTATTGATCAATATATTTATTTTGATATTTAAATTTTCAGTAAAAACTGACAAGGATATATTGGCAATCTGCAAATTAACCTGTCATAATGGTATCATTCTTACTTTTGTCAGGATAGGTAATAGTATTTTTGTTAACAATATTCTTGGCCAAGATTAACTGATATCTAATAAATATAGTTTGTTTTAAATAAATAATAAATTATTTTATTTATATGCATTGTTTGAATAGAACAAATTTAAAAACAATACTCAATAAATAAGGATGAGTATCTGAATATTTTGCTGTCTCTTACCATACCCACTATATCTAACTTAGCTTACTTATTCATTTTCTATAAAAGAAAGTTTCCATAGCTTTCAAAGATATAGAAGTTAATAAAAAACATTTCAGGCACATAAATAATATTTAACAGAAACTACAAAAAAATCCCAGATCAATGGTTTGTTCCTAAGTCTTATAAACTTCCCATTAGAATACTTTGTTCACCTCTGTATGATCTCCATGTAGTCACTTTCCCACAAAACCATAAATTATTGCTCACACCACTTTATTTACTGTACACTGAAATATACTTTACAATATGCTCTATTCAATGGTATTCAAACCCTTCCTGTGGCTATTTTCATAGCAGGGTTTCATTAGTGATTGTTCAGACCACATGCTGTGACATTATAAAAGGGGTGAGAACAAATACCCGTAATATTAAAACCTCAAACAGAGAAAGATAATCATGAGAGAGAAACACAACTGATTGTATTAATGAGAGATGGTTGTTTCTTATATAATAAAAATTGTTGCCTTGGATTGATGGATTGAACAAAAGCATTGTAAAAAATTTGTATAAGTGTCCTGTCTACAGTTGAAATACCTCAGAATTGCACAGAAAAAAAGTTTGAACATTTTTCTTTATAAATAACAATAAATAATTATTATAAAATGACAAAATATCAATTATACAATGTTTTTAAGTAAAAACTGTTGAAATTAGAGGGTTAATTTTTACATAAACTATCAACCTAACTTTACTTCACGTTTTACAGACTGTATTTTTGTGAAATACAAATTACACATTTAATTTGAAAATCAGTAGTAGCTGACATACCAAATGGGTTTTTAGCAGTGATGGAATGAGATCCAGTTAACCAAGCTGATTCTCCTTCTTTGTTAACAGCTTTCACTCGGAACACATATTCGTGGTTCTCAATCAGCTTATCAGCATGAATATTAGTGCCAACTGATTCTCCTACAGGGACCCACCGTCCTGTTTCATCATCTTTCTTCTCAACTACATAATGAGTGACTTCAAAACCACCATCGTCCTTTGGAGGTTCCCACATTACTGTGCAGCTTTCTTTAGTAACGTCACCAACCATCAAGTTCTGAGGTGGAGAGGGGACATCTGAAAACAAAACAATTTTTATGTATATAGTAAGCCAATAATTTCATTTCTTTGGCTAATATCTGGTACCTCTTGCATGCTAAGCATACACTCTTATTGATTTAACCCCATAGTTACTGTTAGTAAGATTTATTTTTTAAACTTATGCTAACATATTCCCCACCTCTCAAAAACAAGGCCTGTCTATAAGCCTAATCTCAGAGTTGTTAGATGACCCCATGTTGGATGTCAATATTCCTATAGTGATCCAACATTTTCACCTCCTGAGCTCAAACACAGTACTTCTGCCTGTGAAGCAAGCACCTTATTCACTGAAGTAAAAGGTTAACCCCAAAGATATTAGTAAGGCACTTTTAACAATCGAAATTGTTGCACATTTGCAAGTACTAATGTACTACTTGTTTACATCATTCTCCTGAACCCCCAATGTTAGCAAAGAAATTGAACTATCATTAATGTTTTTCTTACAAGAAAGTAGCCATGATGTTATAAGAACTAGAACTTCTCAAACAAGTGCTTGAACGGTAAAAATATTTCATAAAAAAACACCAAAAAAGCAAGTGGCAGAAAGTTCTTAATGTCAACATTAAGCTGAGGTAGCTTCAATAGATAATTGCTGTGGCTGCTATGACTTAACCCACACACAGTATAAATAAGTAAATCAATAAACTAACTGTACATGTCAACAAAATAAGAAACCCATAAATAATATAAAAAAATATTATTAATGGGTGCTAATCATGTTCTATTATATTTTAGATATAATCTTCAGACTATAATAATAACCTAAAATATCATGTATTTTTCCAAGGAAGAATTTTAACAGATGACAAAGTATAAACATAAAATGTAAACTAAAAAAAAACAATTAATCAACTCAAGTGTAATCTCTTAAAATGTTTTTGTCCTGCATCTTTTCTTGTTGCAGTGTCCTTTTTTTACCTTGATATAAATAAGATATTTTATTCATTATTTGCCGTTAATTTACTGTTAAGTTAGGCTATTCTTCACCTATAAAAAAATGTTTTGAATAAAGAATTCACTATTAAAGCCAACATTCTAAATATATTTCTTTTTAGTTTGGTATGAGAACTTCTTTTACCTAACTGAATGTGCAAATGGCTGGTCCATTGGACATATCCCTCACCAGTGAAGTTATGCTGTGTATCTTCATGATATGTGGCATGCTTTTAGTAAACAGTAAAAATCTGTTGTAGTCAAAAAATCAGATGAGTTAATAAATTATTTGTGTAAATGATATGTCTGTGGATTTCTGAAGTCAGTCTGATTCAGACTCTGACAAGTCAAAGTGCAAGGTGATGTTAATGTGGTGAATGAAAATACCTTTTCCATCATACAGTTTTGCTTATTACATTTGTATAACCTCTACAATTTCTTAAATGTATAATGTTTTCAATATTCTTGTATACTGTATTTGGTATGAGTTCTTCTCTAACGTGAACTGTTGCAAAAATTAGCAATGTAGGGCAAAATGAAAAGTTATTACCCTGGCATCAAATTTATAACGTGATATTGAGTGGCACTCTGTACAAAGTTGTAGCATAGGCATTTCCACTCCCATCCCTGAACATAGTGTTATGACATTGTGCAAGTAGAAAACAAAGTTACTATACATTTATTTACATTATTTGTTATAGGTAACATGGAGAATTGGAATATATATAAAGTACATATTTTGTTGTTCTCTCTTACACACAGTTTATATAAGTTAGGTACTTTCATATAAGCAATAATACTACTAGTATTAAAAATTTTATTGAGCAATAAGAAAACTGTTAACAGAATAAAATATTAGGCACTGACTAACTCAATAGAAAGGACTTAATTTTTATTTATTTTTTATTATTATTTAGATAAAATAAATATATTATTTTAGCTCAAATGCATACTTACCTAATACAGTAATGTTAACTTTAGCACTATCAGTTCCATTGACATTAGTTGCTGTTAGAGTTAGAGATCCAGTGTCACCACGTTCAGCATTTTTAACACTCAGATGAGTTTTGTAGTCCTCATGCTTTATTGTCCATCTTGACTTAACATCTACAGGTTTGCCATCCAGATTCCACTTCTTGGTTGGAGGTGGCTCTCCTTGAACTGGTACACTGAACTCAAAGTTCTTGCCTGCTTTAATTCTGACATTATACATAGCACTGCGTTCAATCAATGGTGGTACTAAAAACAGAAAATGAAGTGACATTACAAAAAGAGTTATGTATTTAAACTGTTACAAATTAGGAAACTATTTTGATTTGTTTGCACATTTTCGTGAATATTTATATAAAGTGATCACTAAATTACATAAATTCATTATGGAATATGGTACAGTCAGTCTACATAATTTCTAAAAATAGATATTCATTTACATCCAGTAAACAGTATAACTATTATAGCTACATGCAATAGTGCATCCACAAATATTCTTCATTATTATAATGTTATAAACATAATACACCAGCAGTTCTTTAAACACTAAATGAATAGAGAAACAAAAATATACCATTCAACAGTACTTATGAAAAACATTTTATAATTAGACAACTTTAAATATTTTGAGCATATAGAAACTAAAACCATCACAAAGAGTTAAAGCAATGTGTGTTAAGTTTATTTATGCAACTATCTGCTATAACACATTATAAAATATTGAAAAAAATTTAACAATGTTTTTACTAAATTATTACAATTTATACTACAAAACTATAGTTCATCATCACCAGTCGTTTACAAAAACCATTCCTTACAGTTTTTAGGTCTTGCAATGTGTGGTGCTGTGCCATCACTTGGCTCTCCTGGTCCCCCTTTATTAATGGCACGAACTCTGAATTCATACTGGTTGCCTTCAATAAGATCTGGAACTTCAGCTGTAGTACTATCTCCTGGTACCTCTAGCACAGGGCTCCATTCAGGACTAACAAAGATATATGTCTGGAGAGTTAAATACTTCATACAATGTAGAGAGTAAAATACCTCTCTCAGCTCTAGAGAGTTAAATACTTCATACAATGTAGAGAGTAAAATACCTCTCTCAGCTCTAGAGAGTTAAATACTTCATACAATGTAGAGAGTAAAATACCTCTCTCAGCTCTAGAGAGTTAAATACTTCATACAATGTAGAGAGTAAAATACCTCTCTCAGCTCTAGAGAGTTAAATAATTTACACAACCTGAAGGGTTAAATACTTCACACAGAAACTAAATTTATCATGTATTTTTTTTTGTTTGTTTTACTACATACAGATATTTGTTATTTTAGTCGTTGTTAAAAACTCAATTTTATTTTATGCTTATTAGAATACCTAAACTTTCCAAAACTAAAAATACTTTTCATAAAATGTTAAGGTATTCAAAAAATGTTCCAACTTGACATCTTAAGCTACCACTGCCTAATTGAACTTAACATTCTTTTCCACTGCATACTTAACAAGAGAAATGAAATCCTATGTAATCAGCATTTTCTTGAAACCATCTTTGCTCTCTCTGATATGAAACAATCTCAATCCTAGATAACCAACAGTGATTTAACTTAATCTTCTTCTCTAGAACCTATCAAAGTACCTTAAATCATAGGCTACTCATTCCTTGAAATTATTATCTTTACTATATATTTGACAATATAGAAGACTGAATCTTAGGCTGTAAGTGCTTCTTTTTGATTGTATATTAAACAATAGAAATTGAAATAATAAGCTAGTCTTTTTCTTACTTGAACTTATCCTTCTTTTCTATAACATATCCAACAATAGGAGTTCCACCATCAGATTCTGGAGGACTCCATTTCAGTTTTACAAAGTCTTTGTCAAAGTCATCAATTTCAGGTGTTCCTGGTTTGCCAGGCTGATCTATTTATGTGAAATACAAAAATAACTAGTTACCGTAACTTAACAGAATACATTCTTAAACCTTTATTGAATTTGCTTGATGTAGTGTTATATTCCATTAGCTCAAACTTTAAATAATGTTAAACACTTTAAAAAAATTTGGTAAAAACCATAAAAATTGATAATCTTCTGATTTTCATTTTGAGATCTTTAAAAAAATATCTTCCTCCCGAGTTTCCATAAATATGCTGAAAAATCCACAAAAGTGAATATCTAGCATCTAAACTAAAATACCGTAATGTTGTGAGAAATTTTAGGATGCTCCAGCCTCCTTCTAAAAATTATTCTATTAAAGACAAACTGCAAAAATATTTTTTTTACAAGTGCAAAAGATTAGTATCTTAGACCTTTTCACAATAAAATATAAAACCAGAAAATATATTTATTTTAATTTGTTTACAAATCTTTATCTCATATTAAAGCAATGTACTACAATAACCCAGCAAATGGGCCCTTGACAATTATAAAAACACATCAATTGGATTCTAGTTTACTAACAGCAACTCTTCAAATGAATTCTTGGCCACTATTATCTAAACTCAGTAAATGGATTTTTGGCCACTAAAGCAGCTAAATATATATATTATCAGTAATACTACAAAAACTCACCAAATGGATTCTTGGCTACAATGGATTTATCTGCTACTAGAGGATCAGACTCTCCTTGTCTATTTGCAGCCTTCACACGAAACTTGTATGTTTTTCCTGGTTGAAGTCCTTGAACCTGTGAAGAAGATTTATACATGAATTAGAGTTCAAAAGTTAGGAATACATAAAAATTTACAATAAGAATCAGTTGATGAAATAAAAGATATTTTAATTTAGCCAAAAACTATTAATCACAACATTATAATTCTAAGTCCCTTGCTTTGAGGTACTGTGCAAATTATAAGTCTTTAAAGTTATTTATGGACTGTTGGTATATGTTCCACTAAATCTCTTTAGAAGACACAACTCAATAAGCAATGCTTGGGGAAAAATATAAAAAAGTAAGAATAATCATGTTAAATTTACTCAGTATCATCAAAATGAATTTCTTTTGAATTAATACCATACCACTATTATTTCTCATATTTCATTATATTTTAGCATATTTCATTTATATTTTCATTATATTATAACAATTAAGCTTTTGCCAAACATATGCTGACTTTTAAAATCTAAGACATATGAGAAGTCACAGTTTACCAACTAACCTCTGTCTCAGTCTCGGCACCAATAGTTTCACATGCTGGAGTCCAAATTCCAGTTTGAGGATCCATTTTCTCAATGATATAATGATCTATTGGAGCACCACCATCATCAGAAGGTGGTTTCCATTTCAGTTTACAGCCTTCAGCATGGACATCTTCAATTTTCAATGGACCACCAGGTGGTGCTGGTTTATCTGCATGTGCATAATCAGAAATTTACAAATGTTGAATTTATTACAGAAGTTATGGACTGAACATTCACTTAAACATACATAAGCTATGTGTATTAAAACATCTGTCCTTGAATTGCAAAAAATAGTATTCTTTTTTTTTTTCTAAATATCAAAACTTAGTGATATCAAGATTTACATCTGTACTTTAAGAGAAATTTATGAATCCCCATAAAGGAAAAAGGTATTAAAGCAGTTTTAAAAGAATATCTTATTTTAAAGTAATTTTGTATTGATGTATAAATTTAAGCATACAAGTATCAAGTAAATATACAGATGCAATATTTGAGGAGAAACAACAAGAATTTCAGGTATTATCTACACATTCTGTACATGAAATATCAAGAAAATATTTAGTTAACAAAATTATGTTGTTAAAATTTTAACACAGAATCAGTAAAATTTAAATTTAAAAAGCTGGTGTGAAAAGGAAGAGAAAATATAAAATAGATTCCTACTAAACAGTTTTAATGGCACTTAAGGACTAATATATAGATACTAGAAGTAGCAAAACATTCCAAAACTCTACCAAGTATAAAGACATCCACTTCAGCTTCATCTTGACCATTTTCATTGACAGCAGTGATTGTATACACTCCATGATGTTCTCTTCGGGCATGACGAACAGTTAGTTTTGTGTTGTACTCCTCATTTACCAGTTTCACATGATCAGATGGTGTAATGATCTTGTCCTTCAGTTGCCAAGTAATAGTTGGTGGAGGTTCACCAATTACATCAACATCAAAGTGGAAAGACTGACCTGCCTTGATACGAACCTTCTGCAAGTTTCGACGATCAATCTTAGGTGCCACTGAAGGAAAAACACAATATTATGGAAGCAAAACAAATCAAAATAAGAACATTCACCTGAAATATTTACTACTTTTTTAATGGGAAGAATAAGCACATTATTTCAGTAATTGCTGTGTAAGATTTACAAATAATTATATTTGAATTTTTGTTTCAAGTTCTGGAATAATTTGCATGACTAATTCTGAATATATATTCCATAACAGCATACTGATAAAATGAAAGGAAGATAATCCTTATACTCAACAAATAAAACATAAGAATACATATTAGAGATATCAATAAATGACTTAATTATTCAATTCAAAAACATGGAAGTTTCAATCTTATCCAAAAAGAAAATATTATAAAATACTGGATCCAATTTAATTCGTGGTGTTATCAAGTTAAAATGATAACAAAGAATAGTAATCTATGTGCTAACAAAATGTTATATCAACAGCAGAAGACACTCACAATGTCTTGGTTTGGTCACAACTGGCAGAGTGGCTTCACTTGGTTCACCAGGGCCAGCTTTGTTGATAGCTCTTACTCGGAACTCATAGGGTTGACGTTCGGCTAGGTTAGGGATAGTGGCTGCAGTCTTGTCTGCAGGCACCTCCACAGCTTTCTCCCAATCCCCATACTTGCCTTTCTTCTCAATGACATACCCAGTAACAGGAGAGCCTCCATCATTTTCAGGAGGAGTCCACTGAATATCAACATGATCTTTGTCCCAGTCAACAACTTCAGGTGTCCCTGGTTTACCAGGCTCATCTATGTGATGCCAAAAGATTAATCATATATTTAAACCTTAATAACAGATATCAAATATAGGAACTTATTTATCTTACTTAAGGCTAAGGATACACAGTTTGAAATACACTATTAATGCTCACATTACTTAACTTTAACACTGAATAAATAAAACAAGTATGTAAAGAGAAAAGCTTAAAGAAATATTATTGATACATATTTAAGTATATGTAGGACAATACACAGGACAGAAAGGCAAGAGAGTCTAAGCATATTTATGATTTGAGCATAGTTCTTCAGTACTTGAAGTACATTATTAATGAATTCCTTTAAGTGTAAAACAATCCTTTAAGTCATTTCAGGTGTTTAATAAAATCCTATCTTACAATGTTCTCTTTAAACTTTATATTTATGAAATACACAATTCCATTAATATTATTTAGGTGGTGACTACAGAGAACTTTAATATTATATATATATGTATTTTTTCTCTTCACCAAAGGGATTCTTTGCAGTGATAGCTTCATCAGTTTCAAGTGGTTCAGACTCCCCTTCTTTATTCAGTGCTCGCACTCTGAACTTGTAATCTTTGCCTGGAGTCAGACCTGTCACATCCATTCCTATAAAAGAATAAGCACATTAAGTTAATTTGTAATATTTTCCTGGAATTAATCCTATCATATTGATTCCAGTAGAAAGAGGAAACACATTAAACTAACCTGTGATCTTTATCTGGAGTAAGCCCTGTTGCATGCATTCCAGTAGAAAGAGAAATACATAATTAACTTGCAATATTTGCCTTGGATCAGAACTGTTACTGCCATACCTTTAAAAACACATTAAGCTTGTAGCTTAGTGTAGAAACTATTGCTTTCATTACAAGATTACTCCATATAAAGAATACAACATATATCTTTGGTGAACAATTTTCTCAAAAATGAATTCAAAAATAGAATTATTAAGAATTTTAAAATTTTAAGTCACACATTTTCAAAAGAATGCAAAGAAGGTAACTGATACCTACATTGAAATATAATTTTATGTTGTAAATAAATTCAGCCTGTTATAAAGCATCAGTTATGAAGTACTGTATCTTTAAGTTATAATTTTACCTGGCTCTTTTGTTTTTCCAACTGGAACCCAAATTCCAGTTTCAGGGTCCAATTTTTCAACTTCATATCCATCAAGAGGCATTCCACCATCATCTTTTGGCTTGTTCCATTTCAGCTTACAGCCATGCTTGTGAACATCAGAAACTTCAAGTGGACCTTCTGGAGCAGTAGGTTTGTCTTGAGAAAGAAAACACTTTTGTAAAAGTTGTAAATGTACCATGAATACCTTAAAGCTCCAGCTAATATATTAAAATGTCATGTTTCTAGGAGCAGCAGATGTAATGTTGTTTTTTATTAAGTACAAAATGCGTATGAATAACTTTCCAAGTGAAAAAAAAAACTGTTTCAAACTAAAGATAAAATTCAATATTGATGGTAGATTCTTAAAAGTGTTAAATAAAATTATATTCAAAAAATTTGAATCCATTTTTGAACAAAAAAAATCTAATCATTATTATCAAAGTGTTCAAAAAAATGTGTTCATATACAAATGCATAGTTTATCTTTTATAATACTTAAACTTTAAATATTTAACTGGAACTTAAAAATGTTAATAAAAGTATCAGCACATTTGTTAAGAAGCTTTTCTTACAATTTTTAAAGGTTGGCAGTTGAAAAGCACATATAATAATGTTTTTTTTATCTGTACCCCGAGAAACATCAATTACATTAACAGATTCAGTGATAAAAATTAAAACATGACTACTATTAAAGATGTATGAAGTTGATATTTTTTCTACAATGTATATCTTTACAAAACCTCAATTGTTTAGTCAATGAAAATACTTAAAATGAATATTATAAAACTAAACACTAAGAAATATAATGCATCAGGTTTCATATACCTAAAATTGTAACATTCACAGAAGCAGTGTCTTTTCCTGAGCTGTTGGAGGCAGTAATGACATACTTCCCACTATCTGACCGATTTGATTGTCTAACAATTAACTTGGTGTTATAGTCAACATTATCAATATTTCTGTGATCATTTGACAGTAGAACCTCCTCTTCAATAGTCCATGTTACTGTTGGTGGTGGTTCTCCAGAAATATTGACATCAAATTTCAAGCTTTGACCTGCCTTAATAGTCACATCCTTCAAAGTCTTTCGATCAATTGTAGGAGCCACTAGAAGATAAAAAGAAAATTTTTCAATTTATTATAAGTCCTGCTACTCAAAAAAATAATTTTAAAAATCACTGAATTTACAACAAGAAAAAGTATCTATGATAACATAAGAATAAAATGTAATTCATGCATAATTCAGAAATTATATGATTTAGTTAACACCTAATAGTTTTAATTTTTAAATTTAAGTGATACTTACAGAAACGAGGTTTAGCTATAAGAGGCTTTGAAGCCTGGCTTGGTTCACCAGGACCAGCCTTATTGACAGCGATCACTCGGAACTCATATTCCTTTCCTTCTTGGAGGAAAGGAGCTGTTCCTTTACACTTATCACCAGGAACTTCAGATGCTTTTTCCCATCGTGTACTTCCTTTCTCTTTCTTCTCAATAATATAATGAGTAATGGGAGCACCACCAGTTTTTTCAGGTGCAGTCCACTGCAAGTCCACATGGTCTCGATTCCAGTCTGTGGGCTCTGGTCGCCCAGGTGAATCTGGTGGGTCTGTCAGAATATTGAAAAACTATTGTTACTTAACCATTCAAATTATTCAATTCATTATTGATCAAATTTTCAAGCTAAAATAATGTAACTTTTAATTATAGTTGTCAAATGGATCAGAAGTAAACCTTTGGTAACTTTAATAACCAAGAAAGGTACATAAAATTAATATATACATGAAGATATATAGACTTGCTTCTAAGAAATTTCTCTTTATAGTTTTAAATATATAATCTCACCATATGGATCCTTGGCTATTACAGGAGCTAGAGTTTCCAGAGGTTCGGAATCTCCTTCTTTGTTTACTGCTTTCACACGGAATTGGTAAGCTCTGTTTGGAGACAGGTCTGTCACTTCCACCTCAGGCAAATGGCTCTTTCCCACAGGTATCCAGGAACCAGTGTCAGGATCCAATTTTTCAATCAAGTAATGATCAATGGGCTCTCCTCCATCATCTTTGGGTTTGTTCCATTTGAGCTTACAGCCTTTCTTGTGTACATCTAAAGCTTCTAAAGGACCTTCTGGTTTGGCAGGCTTAGCTAAAAACATGAATAAATCACTATTTTTAACTTTTGAAACATCAAAATCTGCAAGTTAATGCACAGAAAACATAAACAGTTTCCATTAGATAATAAAAAAATTGCAATTGCAATTTTTAAGAGCTCAATAATAATGATAAAACGAATAAAAGTAGCTGTAGGACAGCAATGAATTTAATTAAGTACAGATGGTATAACAAGGGTCTTAAAATAAATAAATATTGAAATATATCAGTAAATAATTCTTTCAACAGGTTGTGTTATTTAAGTAGAATGACGAAGAGTTACAACATACTTACACAATACAATGACTTCCACCTCAGCATCATCTTGTCCATGTTGGTTGACTGCAATAATGTGATAGATTCCATTATCTTTTCGCTCAGCCTTGGTACAGATGAGTCTGGAGTTGTAAGGTACATTCTCAATGGATAATGTTGTCCTTTCAACCACTGGTCTATCTTTTATCTTCCAGGAGACATCTGGAGGAGGTTCTCCAATAATTTTCACATCAAAGTCAAATTCCTGTCCAGCCTTCAGCTTCTTTGGTCTCAATGTCCTGCGATCAATTTTGGGAGCCACTGCAATAAAAATGACTTAAAATTTCAAACAAAACCAAAAACACTGATACAATTGGCAGTCCAACACACAGCAAGTATCACTTTCTTAGTTATATCTGCTAGCTATAAGTATATCTTTATAAGAACAAAAAACATATAATCACCTAGAAGATTTTAATTAAAAGAAATGTATCAACATGTGAAGTTAAATACTCTTTCAACATAGCTACAGAAACAGGGAAGATGTCACTCTCTTGTATTTTCAGTTGTGATAATCTAATTTTTGCATCTTCTGATAGTAGTATTGAACCCAGGACATCTCACACACCAGACAAGTGGTCTTACCCATTGAGCTAAATGGCTAATTCACTGGTAAACATTAATAAATCAACTTTTTAACAAATTAGATGACCACATTTTCCCCCTCTCAACAAAAAAGGCCCATCCTTTGTCTTTATTTCAGTGACATAGGATGACCATTAGTCGGGAAACATTTTCTGAGGTAATTCAATTTTTGTATTATCCATAAACATGGAACCTCTTAAGGACAAATTAGTGCTCCTCCAATTGAACTGAAGCATCAACACACAAGCTATCACTAATAAGGCATTTTGTTTTTTTACATTCAAACTACCATATAGTATAAGTAGGTACGATATAATAAGGCTTATAAAGCTAATACATTTTTATAACTTTTTAGTAAAGTGATCATTACTCTATTGGCTTTAATGTTTTACACAACAGGCTATCTGTGCTCTGCCCACCACAGATATCGAAACCCAGTTTCTAGCATTGTAAGTCTGCAGAAAATTGACTGGTAAGACAGGAGATTTAGAAGATCATAGAAGATAAGAAAGTTAGTCAAACAGGAAATTAGGACATCAAAAAAGATGTATGAAAAAAGGTTGGCTGAAACTGTAAAAATTAACAGTAAGGATTTCTTTAAACACATTAAGGGTAAAAAAAATGTTAGGATGGAGGTAGGGCCCTTGAGGGATGATAAAAGAAAGCTTGTATCTGATGATTATGAGATGGCTGCTTTTTCTTCAGTTTTAACGAATGAAGATTTAAGCAATATTTTTCATCTTGAACAACTGACAGATGGAAGAAGGTCGAACAATTTAATTGTATTAATTCTGAGTTTGTTAAGAAAAAATCTGGAAGTTTAAAGAATGATAAGACTCTTGGGCCAGATAATACTTCCCTAAGGGTTTTGAAGGAGGTTAAGTATTGAATGTGTGAGCCACTTGCTACTATTTTTCGTAAATTCTTGAATAATGCCAGAGAATTGTAAGTTGGCTATATGTTATTCCTCTTTTCAAGGGAGGTGATAAAAATTGTCCCAGTAATAATAGGCCTATTAGTCTTACTTCAGTTGTTGAAAAAGTTTTGGAAAATCTGATAAAAGATGTTTTGCAAAGTCATTTAACAAAGTTTAAAATTTTAATGGCTAGTCAACATGGTTTCACTAAGGGAAACTTTTTTACATTCTTTGAAAAGGTTACTGCTTATGTAGATGAGGGCAATGGTATAGATTTAATGCATATGGATTTTCAGAAAGCATTTGACAGGGTGCCACATAAAAGGCTTGTTTAAAAAAATTATCTTTCTAGATGTAGAGGATAAGTTAATTAATTGGATAAAAGAGTGACTGGATAGAAGAAAGCAGAGGATTGTTAGAAATGGAGTTCAGTGAAACTGGATTAATGTCACAAGTGAGGTACCTCAGGGCTTGTTTCATAGGGACTATAATATCTTAGCCCTATTTCTGTGTTATGTCCTCCTGAAGTGGGGTAATACTTATCACATCAAGGAGTGGTAGATATTTGTTCAAGTCAACATAAAATGGAATATTATCTCCCTTAAATATGTTTAATTGGAATGATTGTTGACATAAGTGATGCAAGAATTGCATGATAGTGCATTAGAAGTCCAGTCTGATATAAAAGTGGGGGTATCTACATGATCCTGTTTCTTATTCTGTCCACGTTTTTTTAAAAACTCTATACTACAGCAGCCAGAAACTACTCAGCAAATTAGTAGCTAAGCAGTCAGTTAATTACATGAAAATTGTGTTGCATAAATGAAGATTTTATTCACTTGCATACTGGTGTTTTATGTTTCTTTCATTGTCTGCACTGGATATTATTTTCTGTATAACATTTGTGGAACTTGCATTGTATATGAATCTTCTATACTTTTCTGTCAAATATCCTTTACTTGAATACTATAACAGTAACATAAAATATAAAGAACGAGAGAGAGAGAGGAGGGGTATTGTAATATTATAAATTATTTCTTTTTTTTCTCTGATTATTTTTCTAAGCATGAAACAAAAACTGTAATAAAACCATGCTTACATTTTCTGGGTTTTGCTGTAACAGGTTTAGTAGCATCACTAGGTTCACCTGGTCCAGCAGCATTTACAGCTCTTACTCGGAACTGATATGTCTCTCCTTCTACAAGATCTGGAACTCGACCCTCACAGGAATCTCCATCAACATGAGCTACTCTTGACCATTCTTTTTCACCTTTACCCTTTCTCTCAATAATATAGCCTGTGATTGGTGCCCCACCATCCTTCGTGGGAGGTTTCCACTTCAAATCCACATGATTTTTGTCCCAGTCTTTTACCACTACATTTCCAGGTTTATCTGGCTTATCTAGTTTAAAAAACAACACAGTATTATCAAATGAAGCAATCCTAGAATACTATAATAATAATAATAAGAAGAAGAATTGGCTATAAAAAAATAGGAGATATTGTAGCAAAACTTAGTTTCACAGTTCAAAAAAATAGTAAAAATACTATTAGAAGACAAAGACTATCTGGAAAGTTTACATTTCTTATATGATAAAGCAACAGTTATTCCTGACAGAATTTCTAACCAATAAAAAGCAAAGTTTGAAAAAACAGCATTCATAATTAATTCATTGTTTATACAGATTCAATACATACACCTTTTCTATTAATTTATTGTATTAAGCCAAAGATAAACAATTAGCTGGCAGCTAGGAGGCCAAATCTGGCTGAAAATACAAATTAACACTGTTAGGCATCTACCCTTTAAGTACAGGTACTAGTAACATTCAACCAAATGTTTCATTGCAGCACCACATTGAAATGTGTATAAAAACAACTTATTTTTAAATGTATTTCAACACTAGTAGAGTTAAGTATATTAATGATTTATAAGAAAATGGTAATTAATTTGGTACTTACAGGTTTCTTACACTTACAACCTGTAATATACATATTTACATTTTTGTTACTTTGTGAAAGGTTCTCAAGTTTAGGTTTTATATTGCCAAGATAGAATACCTCATTTTGATGCAAATCATGTGCATCCCATTGAAATAAATGTATTGCTCATCAAAGTTTTATAGATGATATTTTTACCCTCCATAACTCATAAGTTGACTACTTCCTGTATTAACTACCACCAAATTATGATCAAAAATTATCCATGAAATAGTATTAATGAGCTAACTTAATTAAACATTCCTTACCTTCTACATTAACAAAGATAGTTCTAAACATTGTTTAAAATGGGTTTAAATATTTCAAATAGATAAATAATCTAACCACTTACCATATGGATCTTTAGCAATTATTGGTTTTTCAGCTTCCAATGGGTCAGATTCTCCTTCAGGATTGACAGCTCGAACTCGGAACTTGTATTCCTCACCTATTAAGAAAAAAAGTTTTAGAAAAGAGAAAGACTGTTTTAAAAAATAAGCATGTGAGACAGAAAGAACTAAAAATTATTAAATAGTAAATTTTGTTTTTGTTTAAAAATGTTCAAACAAATTTGAGCTCTTACCTGAAAAACAGGATTGGTCTGTTACTCTTATAGTAAAACCACATTTCCAAATATGAAGTACATTTTTGCACTGACTGGTCATGGACAAAAATTAAAATTTTGATAAAAGTACAAAAGAAGAAATGGCATAACTTACAATGTGTTAATTATTAAACATCTTTCGCTGTTTACCTTAAACTGTATTTTACAGTCAAAACAATGGTACAAAACATTAGGCAAAAGCCTTCATAACTACAAGAGTTACTATTTTCCTATACTGAAAATAGATATCCAATAGGTACTTATCTCCTCTCATATGTATAGTTGTTTTCATTCAGTGCTGTCTTCTATATGCAAAAATGTTTTAATATGCCAGAAGCCTTGAACTCCCATGATCAACGTGGTTCAACTGTGTCTCGCATGCAAATCATCATGTAACAACCCTCCACCAATAGGAATACAACACACCCTTCTGACACATATGACTCCCTCTATTCGATTCTATCAAACCATCAACACAAGATTAGGCAGAGAAGAAAGCAATGGTTTTCAGTGGGGAAGAAGGGTGGGTTTAAGCAGAGGTAAGTACCTATTGAAAATCTATTTCCAGTTGTGGTAAAATAGTAACTTCTGATACAGTACATTACCTCTACACACACATGTATAGCTAGAATCCTATACTGAACAAGTGGAGGGACCAGTGCAAATGAAAAAATAAGCATCCTTTAAAATTGTCTAAAGAACACCCATGAGGTATGATCCCCATTGGGAGAGGAACACATGTGGGAGATCAAACCACTTCTGTACCAGTGTGGAAATAGGTGTTGCATACATGGGCAGAAAGTGGGAGGTGTAAAACCAAAAAGGTGGAGAAAAACAGTATAGTGACATCTTAATCTCATAGAAGAAAGACTGTAGAAGAACTATCAACAGATAAGAATGTGGAAAAAGCTAAAATGGATGTGCCCCAAGGTGTAGAGTGGCTAGGGCACAACTAATCATATGCTGCTGCTCAACTCTAGTCCAAAACCAAGTAGTTTCAAGAACAGAACCTCCACCCTGTGGTAGGAGGAGGGTCCACATCATATTCACCTCAAGATAAGTATAACAGAAGTGTATACTGTGCATACAAATCTACAAATCCACAAACAACCACACATCTGGGAACCCGACATCCGAATGAGCTGTGCCAATGTGGCAAGTTACATCAAACTCAATCAGACTGGCAACCCACTGCACAACATAAGTCTCAGAAAGTTAAAACACTTTGAGGTGCAGCATGAGAAGAAAAACTATTGCCCAGATCATCATTATATGGCAACTGCAGAGAAACTGGGTGCAACCTCAGCCTTTGAGACCCACTGAGGCAAATTGAGTTAGGAAGAGGAAACACAATGTACACATGTGTGAGGATTTATGTTGATTGGTCCAGCTCTAATCCAAAATCACTCACTAGGAACCAACATCCAGGTGATTGTAGGATGAGGGATTTCAATTGAATGGGTGAACTGCAATATGATGGATCTACTCCAAAGTAGCAGCATCCTCTGGATAGGACCACACAAAGGCTGGAGTGCAATAACAACCGCTGTGTTCCACAGTATGGAAGTGGATTGCATCTATAAAATATAAGTAACCTCACCCACTGGATAGAACCACACAGAAGCTGGGCACCACATCAATCCATGGGAGCCACTGCACAGAACACCACTGCCCTACTCTCTACTGAATGGAAGCGAACACATTCAGGAGGACTATTCCATTGTCCACCACCCCAGTGGCTTGGAACTGGAAAGTAACAAGGACTCCCATACTCCACTAGAAGAACAAGGGGGATAAAATGTGATGATGAGTCCAGAGGAATGCCAGTACAACAGGTAACCATGAAAACCCTATTTTGAAAAAGCTGACTGCTTCTGATCTATTCAATCAAAAAAAACAGCAGGGATGGGTAGCTATCCCCTTCTGCTTTACACATGTAATTCTATGGGTTAGTACAGTCTGGAACAGGAATATTAATGAAGCAAATATATCGTGAGGAAAATACCTACTAGTGTGCATTATAGGCCATGGTATACATTGTGGTCATATAGTGTGGATTTGAGATATAGGGAGCATACCTAGACAGGCAAGGCTCACCACTGAATGGGATCCAAATCCTAAATGGGACATGCCCCTGAAATGAAATAATATATATATATATATATATATAGAAAAGATCATTTCACCAGTCACAACTCCACCAAAGTTTGAAGGATGGCAACAGTCGAAAAGCAGTATCCTGACGAGGAAGATACAGCCACCCAATGAAGATAGTGTGAAATAAATGTATGAGGTGTAGGCCATGTGCCTGACTAAATAGTTTCCTCCAATTGATAATGGAGGTGAGACTCTAGGAAAAGGGAAGGTGCCCAGTCACAGAGTTCACACATTAATCCAAAGACTCTGGAAAATCTCCAAAAACAAACAGATGGAAAAAAAAAAGAAGCCATCTGGAAGTTACAAAGATAGCAAAATCCCAACAGCAACAAAACCGTATGTGAAGTGATAGAGTCAAAAACAACAATAGCGCCAATGAGGAGTAAGGAGGGAAAGTGTATCCCCTCAAAAAAAACCCTCACAGAATCTGTGGAGTGCCTCAGAAAGATGCATGTTGGACAAGTGCTGTAACAGAGCTGTAAAGGTAAGATGCTGGTGGGAAAAAGGAAGTGGGAGAAATGGATAAAATTATCAGGGACAGCACCCCACACAAGCAAAAGTGACTAACTGCTGTAAGTTGAGAAAATGTCAAAGCAGGAAGATCAGATGTCCATGGAGAATGAGGCATGATAACACCACCCCTCAACTGAGAAACTAAATGCTCAGTATAAACCCTGATGTCAGGGGAAGGAAGGAAAACAAGGGACTCTAATGATGGGTGTCATGTTAAAAAAAGAAACAATATCATGTGAAAACGAGGAAACAGAACACACCTGAGAAAGAATATCCAAAGAGGCAGAGATAGGCCTAGTAGATTTCGTAGGTGATGTAGGAGAAGGTACAGCATGGGTAGGAAGGAAGAAAAACCTGTTAAAATCCTCTTAGTCATGAACATGTTCAGAAAATGCAGGAGGAGCCCGAACATTGTTGGGAGAAAAAGGACACCTCATATAACAATCAATCTCCTGACAAAATCCTCAGTTGTGACCCCCCAAATATGAAGCTGGTAATGGCATTCAAAGTAATGGTAATAACATAAGCAGTTGTAAAACAAAAACTATGGAATTCATCTTAAACTGTAAATAAGTTGAAAATGAGAAGAAGAAAAAATCAATAAACAAAGGTAAGCTACCACAGCAAAATAATACTGACAAAAATAACTGTTGGAAATAAATAAATCAAGTAAATCACTACTTCACAAAAAAATGAAATGAACACACAAAGAGAGCACAAGTGAAAAATGTTGGCACTCAATCACTGCCTAATGAGAAGTGATAGTTTGGTAGAATCGATTAGAGGGAGTCACGTGCGTCAGGAGGATGTGTCCTTCTGGTGCAGGGTTGTCGCATGATGATATACATGTGAAATGCAGTTGAACCACATTGATCATAGGGAATCTGGGAGTTCAAGGTTTGTGGCATGCAAAAAACTTTTTGCATAAAAAGAGCAGCATTGAATGAGAACAGCTATACATGTGAGGGGAGGCAATGTACCGTATTGGAATATTCTTGTTTGTTCATTTCATCTCTGTAATCATGACAATTTCAATATATTTTTACTTTCATTATGGCTTCAGCAGGGAGAAAGTGATGACATTTGAAAAGCAAAAATAGCTCCAAATACTGCTGGGCTAGAAAAGGATAATCATTTTGGAATATGAAGCTTAATAAAGGTCCCAATAATAACACTGTAATAAATACATTTACAGCCAACCACAATATCTTCATAAGATCAATTATACTCCAGTTAGTAGCTTAACAAGCATTTCCTTTGTTTGTGGCAATTACAAAAGGATAAATGAATGATATCTATAACATTTAAATACTTACCACTAACATTTGCAAAGAGAAACATTCATTATAATGAAAATGACAAAATTCCTCAATCAATTAGCTTATGATACATTTACAAACCTGGTGTCAAATTGTTAACTTCCATTTCTGGTTTGGATGAGCGACCAATGGGCTGCCAAAGGCCACTTTCCTTGTCCAATTTCTCAACCAAGTAATGATCCAAAGGTTCTCCACCATCATCTTTTGGTGGATTCCATTTCAACTTGCAGCCCTCAGCATGAATATCTGAAATCTCTAGTGGGCCTTCTGGTGTGGAAGGTTTGTCTGTGTGTAAATAAAAGTAATCTATTGTCAGCAAAAATCCTTTTTAGTCATCATGAATCAAAATTATCTTAGAATTAGAGTACCATTAAGTACATTTAAAATGTAATCTAAAGTTAATTACCAGTATGATACACCATCTGCTTAAAATAAATCTATGAACTAGTAATTTCTTTGTAAGAACTCCAGTTTTAAGGATTAATAAGAAAAATATAGAGCTAAAACTAATTTCATGACATTTAAATTATATTTAGGATCAGTTAAAGCTGATGTTAAATATAAAGATTGGATGAAAAGTTCTTTGGACATAAAAAATATATGAGTGACAAAAATTATTAAACTTATTTCTTTAGTAATTATTTAAAGTAAATATTTATATTAGAAGAAGTTGTACATTTACAGTTCCAATTTTTCTTATCTGTTGTAATAATATTTTACTGAGATAGAAGACTATAGATAAGTATGAAAATATCCTGTATTATTTTCATCACTTAACAGACAAAATAAAACATTTGAAACTAAGTTCAAAGCTTAGATCTTATACCTGTTTATGAAATGTATTATCTTACCTGTGATAAATTAATGCAACAAAATTAAGATCTCTAATTTAACAAAATATTTTCAAATAATAATAAGTTTGATTAATGAAAGATACAACACCAAAAAAGAGCAAAATACTATAATATATACTTACCTAAAACTGTGATCTGCATGGTACCTTCATCTTTACCAGAAGTATTTTCAGCAGTCAGGCAATACACACCACTGTCCTTACGTACGCCATTACTGATGTTCAATTTGGCTTTGTATTTCTCAGAATCTATGGTTACATGTCCATCAGACGTTAGTGCGTGGCCATTATGTGACCATGTTTTCTTTGGTGGTGGTTCTCCAATGACTTTCACCTCAAATTTAACAGATTGTCCAGCATGTATGGTTAGATCTTTCATCTTCTCAATTTTAGGTGCCACTGGTGATTATAATTATAAGTAATTAAAAAAAAGAAACAAACATGAAATGACACACCCACCCACATATATACATATTTCTTAACTTCAGTGAGCAAAAAAGTTAATTTATATTGAAGAAGATATTTTAGCTTATATGGTGTTTAAATTCACAATATCTTTATTAAATAACATATGCATTAATATATATTTTGTATTTTCAACCTGAACAGCATCTAACTGTAGAAATGTGGGCTAAGTGACCAGGTTACATACCCCAAGATTCAGGCACAGCTATTCCTAAGTTTAAAACATAGAACTACTGACTAGGAGGAGGGAAACCATTCAGTAGCACCCACTAAGTTCAGCAGCATAAAATGGCTCAAAAGTTGGACCTTTTGATCTGCATCCCAGTACCCTAGCTAGGTCACACACAGGACTAGACACATTTCCAACAGCATACTGGATCAGTTAAAACAGTAAAGTATCCCAAATATTTCTAAAGCTGAGCGTAAAGAAAGTTCAGTGAAACAAATAAAGAGTCTATAAAAAAGAACTCATAATCTTAATTAGAATGTGCTTATTACCTTACCTGCTTATTACTTACATGCATACTAAAATTCATAAATAACAGTCCATTAATTAATTTTCTAATGTGCTCTGATCTGAAAACATGAAATGACACAATATTTCTTAGAAATCATACTTACAAAACCTAGGTTTTGCAATAATAGTTTCAGATGGATCACTTGGATTTCCTGGACCTGCTTTGTTTACAGCCCGAACTCTAAACTGGTACTCCATGTCCTCTATGAGGTCAGGTATTCTACCCTCACACTTATCACCAATAATCTCCACTCCCTTCTGCCACTTTGTGCTGTATTTATCTCTTTTCTCAATGATATAGCTGGTGATGGGTGAACCTCCATCCTTAGCTGGAGGATCCCAAGCAAGATCAACATGATGTCGGTCCCAGTTTTTGGCTGAAGGTTTACCAGGTTTGCCTGGTTCATCTAGATGATTAAGAAAAAAAAAACGGGTTAATATATATATATATTACAGTGCTCCTAAATAACACACTACTTCACAAAAAAAAGAACTTTCCTTAATAAATTGAATAATTTTGTGCTATTCACTGGAGCTGAGTGTTATAATTTTCCTAGACTGAAAATGTATTTCTAAACATACTTACCTCTGCTAATATCTAATTTGCAAAACTTTACGTTGGCCCTCACATGCCCTCTATGCAGGTATATAAGCACTGTATGCAAACAATAAAATCACTTTTTCGAGACTTACCTCTATCTGGTCACTAACACCAGCTCTTAGTGGGGAGGAAGGGAGGGAGAATGTCAGCGGAGGTAAGTATGTTTGGAAGTACATTTTCATTTTAGGAAAATGATAACTTCCAAAACATACATACCTCTGCTTACACTAGAAGCTAGTATTCCACAGGTGGAGGGGTCGGTGAGGTCAGAGATCATACAGAAAGCATCTCCAGAGTACAAATATGTACAACAAGAAATGGTATCAGAGTTGAGAACACAGCACTACATCCTGAACAGATATGCTCTTCACCTCTAACTACAGAAAATTTAAAAGGGTGGAATATAATACAAGTATGATAGTCCAGCCCCGACCAAATAGCCGAGGTTCTACAACTCGGGTTGGATTTAAGAGGTCATGGTACCCATATCCCACGTTGGTAGCCAGGGCAATTAGACTACAGATATATATATCTTTGTGAGAAAATCCCTACCAGTAACCACAGAAATGATGCATTTTGAACCACTGGATTTATGAAAGAAAGAAAGCGTCATCAAAGTGGACAAACCTTCTGATCAGCTTGAAGAGTCCAAATGGCAGCATCCCAGGTCTAGATTGACAAGATCATATGCCATACTCCACCAAAGTCCAGAACTCATCCAGTCTGGATTTACAAACAGTTGTCTTTACTCCCCCCCCATGTGGACAAGGAGAAGTCTGCTTACCCATGGAATTATGGAGAGGATGTGGAACACTGTCCCACCAAGGGCCAAAGATGGGATTTACAAGGAGATAGTGGACCCCCTGCACGAACAACATAAGACCTGACAGTGTTCATAAGAGGGTCCAAGCACCCCCACCGGATAGCTAAGCTTCAAATCTGGACTGGTTTTATGAGTAGGCTCCCGTGGAGGTTGGTCCTGCTCCTACCAACATTTGGAAACTTCCAGGGACCCAGGTAGGAGGGCCTCCAACTTTGTCCTCTTCTCCGAGAGTGGAGAAAACTCAACACTCGAAAGAAAATCCTCTGTCCTCCACCCCAGCAACAGGGAACTGGGTGTGGTAAGGACTCCCGAGCTCCATTAGTAGAAGTAAGGGGGGACATAAGCATTGGGGAGTCCTGAGGAACAGGCCTCCGAAGACAGTGCAACAGGTGAACCATGTTCCCTAATTTTTAAAAGCAAATTGATCTTGACTGATTCAGCTCTAAGATCAGCAGGGACTGGCAAAATCCCCTATAGCTTTACTCGTGATAGTCCATGAGTAGCATTAGAAATGTGGTAATATGACATCACCATCCAGAATTGCATCCAGATGGTCTTATGGAACAACTCATCTTGACAGAGCCCATTGCAACCAGGAACTGATATGATATTTCAATTCATTTCTACTTTAAGAAATTTTAGGGTAACTGCCTTCCCACAACTGGCTATAGACAGTGAAAAACAGTAGAATCTGAGATATTGTAGGTGTAAGTACTCAGCTTCGTACCCTTATTTCACTGATTTTATTTTATGATTTTCCATGACAGCTGACTAGATTGACTTTTGGATTTTGTCTGACAGATGGTATACTCCCAACACATTTGGGTGCTATTACCACAGACATTATCCGTTATGACAATAAGTTGACAACCAGGACCAGTAAAAGTATTGCAATATTTAATTCATTATTGCTTTATAGTGCTGATTTAATCACCTATTAACAATTAATGTAATCAATAGTTTGTAAACTATTCATATATATATATATTTATATATTACACATCTTATAGAACCAATAAACATTTGTAACAATAAGTAATAGACATATTATTGAAAAATGACACATAAAGAATTACAGTCAGTAATGCATAGACAATGATTAAGCTCACGTACAGAAGGTATATACCATATCTCTCCCTCTCTCTTTTTCTATTTAGTTATGACAACAGAAAGAGTGGTTTCAAGATCACACAGTAAGGATTTCAACTACTACAACACACTAAAAATACATATCTATATAATATATTAATTAAAAAATATCTCATATATACTTTTTCTGATGCAAAAAATTTAAGTATTATAAGAATAACCTCTGCATATACATCTTTTTCTTACTATCAAAAAAACTCCAAGTTACCAAATGGATCTTTAGCAAGCATTGGTTTCTCTGTTTCAAGAGGCTCCGACTCTCCTTCTGGGTTCACTGCCTTTACTCGGAACTTGTATTCTTTTCCAGGTAAGAGTCCACTAATTTCTGCTTCAGGCTCTTTTGAAGTTGCAATTGGAACCCACCGACCTGTCTCAGTATCCATCTTTTCTACTACATATTGTTCAACTGGTTCACCACCATCATCTTCTGGTTTGTTCCATTTTAGCTTGCAGCCCTCTGCATGAACATCTGATACCTCAAGGGGTCCCTTAGGTTTGCTTGGTTTGCCTGAAATTTAAAGAAAAATATTTATTTTGTAGGCACAACACCTTTTACTAACACTGCATATTCTGAAAGCATAATCGCCATTACCAAATAAATAACATTTAATAGCTAGTTAAGATAAAATAAAATACTTCAATACACATAAAAGGAAGAATAAAGTTATTGCAAAATGAAATGTGATTTATAAATTAAGACTTCAAAGACCTTAATCAGGTAAATGCTGTACAATATAAGGTGTATAAAAGTCCACATATAGCCACATATCTCATGCTAAACTTTAAGTACAGAAACACAAGTTTAGCATAATATGTATTACTTACTAAGCACAATGATTTCAACTGTAGCTTCATCACTACCAGAGTCATTTTTAGCACTAATGGTGTATTTGCCACTATCTTTCCTCCTAGCCTTCTTCAGTAAAAACACAGTGTGGTAATCTTCAACTGTAATCTTTAATTTATCTGTTGTTTTCACAGCTTCACCATTTAAAAGCCATTTGATTGTTGGTGGAGGTTCACCCTGAACTTTAACATCAAGATGAACCTTCTCACCAGACCGTACTTTCACAGTCTTGAGATTAGTGCGATCAATACAGGGGGCCACTGTATTAAAAGATTGCAAAAAAATATTTTTCATATCAATTGGATTTCACATATTAGCTTTAAAATATCATGATTAAGAAACACAATTACACAAGTAAATAAATACATTTATGTAACCTTAAAGTTTTGTTTTTTATATTTTTTTCTTTTGAAATCATATTGTTCATTTCAGGCTAGTAATTATGAATTTTATCATTTTTATGTGGAATGTATATTACTTATTTAGTGTAAAATAATCATAAACTTATTACGATGATACATGGTTCAAACAAATTCATATTTCACAAAATATTTGGAATTTATGAAACTTAAAGAATGCACCAAAAATAACTAATGCTCTACCTACTTTATTAATTAATATAATACATAAAGAAACATCAGCCAAAATGAACACAGTTTTTTGTGTGATTAAGTATTAAAATATGATGTAAAAACTTATTCACTGGGATTGTTTTATAGAGTTTTACTTCTTCAATTTATACTAAAAAAATAATTTTCTTAATTTTTTTAATGCTTGCTGTAGAGAAAAATATTAATGAATAAAATACACATCCTGTAGATAATGGTCACTATTTTGCTTATATTGATAGTTATATAAAAGATTACTAATAAAGAAAAACAAACTAACAAATCAGACAGAGTACAATTTCCCAAAATTAAGGAATTTTACACCATTCATTTGTGAGAATTTGAAAAATGTTTTTAACTGACACATTTTATTACATTTAAAGTAGAAATAAGAAGAAAAAATAGCAAGAGTAATGATTTTGGTACTTAAAACTCACAATTTCTGGGCTTGGCTACAACACTTTTAGAGGATTCACTGGGTTCACCTGGCCCTGCTCTGTTCACAGCTACAACCCTGAATTCATACTCTTCACCTTCTTCAAGGTCTGGTACTGTTCCAGTTGTCATGTCCCCATGCACCTGCTTTGCTTTCTGCCACTTGTGAGCTCCTTTCTTCCTCTTTTCTAAAATATAGCCAGTAACAGGTGAACCACCATCTTTATCAGGAGGTGTCCATCTGAGATCCACATGATCCTTATCCCAGTCAACTGGCTCTGGACGGCCAGGTTTTCCTGGTGCATCTGGCATAAAGAAAATGCAATAATAACTTTTTTGAACTTGCCAAAAACTTTATATCTGTTTTTGCTCACATTTTGCAGTATGATAATGTTAATTCATTTCACAAATATTTCTGAATATATGCTAAAATGAATCCAACTTCAGGTTACAAAACTGTAAACAATCCAATATATTATACTTTATTGTTATTATTATTATTATTAAAGAATATATTAATTAATAGTTTTTATGCTTTTTTTTTTTCTTCAGAAAACATTTGTTCTAAGACAGTATGTTACAGCCAAAACTGAGACATCTAAAGACTGCTTCCGTTGGGACTTCAGTCTTTAAACAAGTGCATAGCTTCCTTTATTAGACTTTCATAGACTGCAGAAAAAATGTTTTAAGTAAAAGTTCTCATGCACATTCTTAAACTGATGTTCTATACAAATACACAATATATTTATACAAAATAAAAACAAATGAACACATACCAAATGGATCTTTGGCTAGGGTAGAATGATCTGTTTCTAATTCATCTGAGTCACCTTCCTTGTTCACGGCACGAACACGGAACTTGTACTTTTTACCTGGGACTAAGTTATTAACCTGGAAGTTTGGCTCTGTGGATTTTCCAGCAGGAAGCCACAACCCAGTATCCTCATCCATCTTTTCCACTTCATAATGTTCAATAGGAGCACCACCATCATCTTCAGGTGCCTTCCACTTCAATGAACAGCCCTCCTTATGGACATCTTTAACTTCCAAAGGTCCTTTTGGCTTGCCTGGCTTACCTAAAGAAGAATATTTCAGATGTTAAATTAACAAGAAAATTGGTATGCTATTGACAAAAACTATTCTATTTAGAAGTTTGAAATTTTGGAAATGAAAATATAAAATAAAAATAAAATGAATTGTACTTAATTATGTCATAATTTTCTTTTTTTAATAACTGTGAATGAAAGTTTTATGTTGCATGCTCTTTAATAAATTAATGAGCATCACTGTACTAAAAAGATTCATGGTACAAGGTGTAACAAACTACCTTAAAAAGGCTAAATTCAAAGACTTGGGTAGGTTTAATATGGATCGTCATGAAAAGTATTTTTCATAATGAAGTACCTGAAATATTATCTATGAAAATAAGTGTTTAAAATTCTGAGCTCGAATTTATTTTAATATTACAATAATCTTGTATCTTGAAACATGCTTTTCTTCTTAATGGAAATAAAAATTTTTGAAGTAGGACTCAAGAAGTGTATTATTTAATGGTTATTAAATTGGAGCATACCTAAAACTGTCACTTCAACCTGAGCTTTGTCGCTTCCACTGCTGTTTGTTGCAGTAATGGTGTAAATACCACTTTCTTTACGAGTGGCTCTCATGATGTAAAACTTTGAATTGTAGTCTACATTATCAATCCTGTATATTTCTCCTAACTCAAGAACTTTCTCCTTGAAGATCCATTCTACTTTTGGAGGTGGCTCACCAATGATGTTCACATCAAAACTTACTGGATGTCCAGCCTTCACTGTTATGTTCTTCAGATTTGTTTGGTCAATTCTGGGTTTTACTTAAAACAAAAATAAAACAACGCTATTAAAAAAAATCCGAACCTTTGAAACAAAATTCAACACACTTCTCTATACTTGAAGATGGCAAAAACAAGAAAATACAAAATATGTGAACCTCATTATTCACAACAATCAAGAAAAGTCCAAATGATCATAAAATTCCAGAATATCTCATTACAGTATTCATAAACCATATCATGCAAAATAAGTGTTTTAATATTCTGTTTAATGAACTTAAATGATCCTATATACTTTAAACATACCTACAAAATTGAATAAATTAATTTTTGACCCATACCAGCAAAATTGCCTTAAATGTTACCTTACAACTGATGTTTTTAAACACTTTACTCTTAATTGGCTACTAAATACAGACAAAGTACTAATACCTCCTCATCTTATGGGAAACACACAATGATCCAGTAAAGAATGAATTGTTCATATTACTTGTAGATCAAATTAATAAAATTAATATAATGTGTATATGGTACTTAAATACGTTTTGTTTAAACATAACACTGGAAATGCATACTTTTGTGAAGGATTTGAACAAACCATTAGTGAAATTATACTAGTTTAATTAGAATGCATTAAAAACACTACACTTTAGAGCTGGGGGATACAATCAGTTAATAAATATAATTTATTACATATGAGTATTTGTTAAATTCACTAGTGTCACATAACAGTAATCAATTAATTTTCTGACTATTTCAACTATCAGGTAATGAGATTATGATTACATCGTGATTAAAGTAATGAAAATAATTAATTCAAATTAGTGTTTCCAGTTATTCAAATTATTCAGTAAATAACATACTGTCATTATAATTTTCAATAAATTTAAGTTTTTTACTTTTTGATTAATGCCACAATTCATAAAAATAATCAATTAATCAAAATTAGAGTTTCCAATTATTATTACATTCACAGTTATTCCAACTATTAAAATAACAAAAATATTGCTTTTATTTTTGTTTGCTGTTAAACATAAAGGCATACAATTGGCTAACTCTGCCCTGTCTAACAGAGTTCTGAAACCTGGTATTTAATGTTATAAACTAGTTTTTTTATAGCTATCTTGTGAAAATGACAGATTAGTTTTGTTTTATATCAAGAATGAAACTAATTAATGAGCATGACTAATCACCCAGCTCTATAGTTCACATACATCACAAAATGCAGATATTTATAAGATTCAGCACAGTTATCTACCAGACACTTTAATTTCACATAAATTTAATACTGTTATTTATAACGCATAAAGATTTCACTAGTTTTAATGTCAGGCTTGAAAAAAAATTGTTTTTCCTCTTTAAGCTATTCAGAAAATGCAATGTACTTTTGTGATGTTATATACTCAGAGAACAAAATATTTAGTTACTTCTAAATAGCAATCATATATTTATAAAAAGTTTTATTCATAATTCACCTATATTGTTATACCATAAGGTATTGTAAGTAATATGCAAGTAAGAATGTATGCATGTATATTTTAGAGCATCAGAATTTATACTTTTAGTTAAAACACTAAATATACTACAGAAAACTTTGTTTTAAAATTTTCAACTTTATATTTCTTGATCATGTCAGTCTTGTAACTTAACTGTTTTATAGACTTTAGAATTCTTAACACCTTGGGAACATTTGTTTATCATCTTACTTCTTAAGTACAAATATTTTTCTGTCTATGAATAAATTGAGCTGTTATACAACTTATGAACAAAATATACAGTGATTAATCTTCAGTTTAGTTATCTTGCAAAATAAATACCATGCCATTGTTGGGATGCAAATAATTAAAGGGATTTTCAAAATGTTTTCTTTCAGAAATACAAAGATTTTTAAAACTTACAAAATTTAGGCTTAGCAGTATGAGGGCCAATGGCTTCACTTGGTTCACCTGGTCCAGCCTTATTGACTGCTCGTACCCTGAATTCATATTTCTCGCCTTCATGTAAACCCTGAACTTTCCCCTGTGTCGTATTCCCACGAATTTCTACTGCAGGAAGCCACTCAGGGCTATACTTATCCTTCTTCTCTATGACATAGCCTGTAATTGGGGCTCCTCCATCATTGAATGGTGGTTCCCATTCAAGTTGTACAAAGTCCTTGTCATAATCAGCAATCTTAGGGACTCCTGGGCTCCCTGGTTCCACTGCACAATTCAAAGAGAACCATTAAGAAAACTTCTTAAAATACAGCAATACAGGCAAATTAACATACATTGTAAAAGAAAAATTCATCTATCTTGTAATACAAAACAATAAAATATTCTTGACTACATACATATATAAATATGTATACATTGAAGTAAATACATGAGCTTTTATTCACTGATGTTACTGCAATGAAACTGGTTTCATGTTATTAAATGCTTTTCTTGAGAAAGAAAACATTAAATATGGTTACTTAAGATCCTGTCATTTCAAGCTCAAATTAAAAAAAAATTATACTGTCCAAAATCCTAAATAACAAATAATCAAAATTCACACACACACACACACACATAGACATATATATATGAATGAAAATCCATTGAAACTGAAAACAATACACACATACTGGCTGACCATTTTACTGTGGACTGTTACCTAATAATGCATTTTGGGTAATTTTATGCTCAAATAACAGCCATGATATGACATGGCACAGAATACACAAGGTGCTGGAAGGTATCCTGATGGAATATTTTATATTCAATCATTAATACTGTATGCAATTCATGGAGTGAAGTAGGCAGAAGAGCGTGATGGCATGCGAGTCTTTCAAGTTCATCCAACAAATGCTAAAGTGATTTGAAGTCTCCATCATGTTTCTTTAACCATGCCCACACAGTTAGAAGTAGCCATTCCCATTGCTGTAGGTACTTAATTAGAAATAATACTGAGGCAAACTAAGGCATTCATTCTGAAATATAAAGAGACCAAGAGGCCCAGAGTATTCTAGGAAAACATACTCCAACCCCTAAATGCACCACTATAGGCTTGTACAGTTGGGACCATACAAGAGGGGCCAAATGATTCATGTGTCTTTCTCAAAATCTGTATTCTCTTATATATGAACAAAAGGAGTAAATCATGACATTGCTTATAAACTCAAATGATCAATGTTTTGCAGTAGCCTAATAACAATCTGTCTCAGCCACTATGGCATGTTACAGACATCTACTATTCTGCCTCTTTTGAATGATTCCATTTAATATCTTTGCCTTTCCTCGTGTCTGTTAGATGGACCATAAATTGGCTTATCTCAGATATGCAAAGTGCTGCAGAGATCACCTGAGACACATCATCTGATCAACCTAATTTGCTTCTGCACTTCAGATCAGGCCCAAGTCCAACAGGGTTACATAGGTCCTAATAAAGTGGCCAGTCAGTGTATATATGTGTGTGTGTCTATATACATATGATAATAAACAGGTATAATAATCACAAAAAATATCCACACAAATTTCATACTTACAATAGTCATCCTATTTATTCAATTTTGCTTGTTTACTCCTGAACTTTTAAAGTATGTTTGATAAATTAAACTATATTTAACTTTCACTTTTGAAAAGCACAAATTTACTAATTGAAAAACTGTCAGAGAAAAAAAGCTTACTTGTTTCTTTAAAGATAAAAAAAAGTGCATATTTTCAAACAGTATTCCTAAGAATTCATACCCCTGAAACATAATTCTTAAAATAATCATACCTAAAATTGGGCTTAAATGTTTTTACAACACACAATTTTGGTTTGTCTATAGAATGAAAACAAAAATATCACAATTATTTTATAATGAAGAAGAAACTGGAATAAATGTAGAAAAAGTCTCCCCTGTAGATTACTATACAAAACTGCTCTCCTGTGAGAAATTATTTTAAAACATTACAGGTATATTCTCTAACTATTAACAATTCTATCCTACACAATTTTTCAGTAGCAGAGAATAACCTGTACAATTCTATTTTTTAATTACCTTATGGAATATTATTACAAAAAACATAATTATCCTTAATACTTGTCTAAGGACAATGAGTTTTTAACATAACATACCATTTTCACATTTTTTGGATCCTTAAAATTTTTCATCAACTAAATGGGATGACCCTGCTTGAAAATTCCCTGTAAATCTTTATGTGAAGCTTGCAATTATTTGGAAATGTTTGAAAAATATTTCTTTTACTCTTTTATTTAGTATGGATATGGTTTGAATATTTTTGATAATTTAACTTAGAAGAGAGTTGAGAAATTTATTAGTTTTACTTAGTGACCATATTACAGAAAAATGGTAAATGTTTTCTACTAACAAACAAATGCTTACTGATATTACAAATTTTTAGTCACCATCAAAAATATTTTAAATTGTTTGTTTAGCTAAAATATTTTATTTTGTAAATTTCATTAATTCTCTTAGAGACCATAGGTGAAAGAATAATAGTTTTGAGAATAGTATCATAGTCCTGTTAATATAATACATTTTGTCACAGACTAATGAAATGTCAAGAAGTTTCAGGGATCAGAAAAATAGAAGTGTTCCATAATCCTTTTAATATACTCCAGTCTGCTACAGACCAAAGACTGCCAAGAATACTTAGGGAACAGAAATATGAAAATTATATCACAATTCTGTTAATATAATCCAGTCTGCAACTGACTGAAGAAAGGCTAAAATGTCTTATGGATCAGGAAAACTGAGGTGGTGCTATAATCCTGTTAATATAATCCGATTTACTATTGACCTAAGACTGCCAAGAAGTTTTAGAGATTAGAAAAGTTAATTGAAAGCTAACATTTTCCTTAACTGAAAATGTATTTCTGATAGATACTTCCACACACAGAAGCGCTTGATCCCTCATGCATCTACTTATGAGATTTGCATGCCACTAGCATTGAGCTAAGTCCCACCTAAAAATCATGTGTTTAATCTGAACTGCACTAGAGCACGGTGACATCATCATGCAATAATAGCCCTCCACCAATAAGAGGGCAACACAATCTCCTTATGCAGTAACTCCCCTTAAACACTTACACTCGAAATAACTTCATTCTTAGGTGATGCAAGAGAAAAAAGTGCATCAGAAGTGGGAAGGACAGGAGGATGTGTGGAAGTGAGTATCAATCAGAAATACATTTTCAGGTAAAGAAAATGTTAACTTCCAAGATGATACTTCACCTCCACACAACAGCTAGAATCCCACACTGAAATTGTAGAAAGGCCAGTGCAAACATTAAATCTAGATGAGCTCCTTTCAGAAAGTGCCCAAAGTGAAGTCCATGGAGTGTGCTACCTGATGGCAGAAGCTCCACAGGAGCACAGTCGTAAGAGACTGCATCTTGTTTGGACCAGGATATACTCTTCATCTGGAAAGAAACAAAAGAGCCTCAAGTGTTGCACGGATGCGCAGAAGTTAAACATTGAGTGTGTCACATCTCAACTCAACTGGAAAAACTTAATTCAGGAAGAGAATTGTTTAAGTGGTGACTTGTGCCATACAAACAGTGTTACTTCCACCCTACTTCTCACCAGTGCTGTGCACAATCAGTGAGGAATTCTCCAAGATTCACCACCCAAGCAGCTAAGAACTAGTAAGAGGCAAGGGTCTTTTGTGCTCCACTAGAAGAAGAGGGGGAATACCTAGAGAAGTGCCTGAATCTCCATCAGATGCCTGCCAGAAATCTCTGTTATTGGAGACAGTGCAATGGGTGACTGCAAAACCCTATTTTTAAAACCTGACAAGTGTAAGCCAAAGAAGTGGGAAGACACTTCCCTGGTGTTGTATTTTTCCATGGTAGTTCATGGAATGGTACAGTCCAAATAGGAAGGTTGGGTAAATTTTAATACCACAAGGATACCTCTAGTGGTCTTGAAAAGCACACCATCTCAACAGTGGGCAATGGTAGAGCCTGAGCAGATGTGTTTAGTACTTTTCATTATCCCTGGCCTGATGAAGATTTTTGGAAATAAGCATACTATGGGAGGCAACACCAGCCACTTGGCAGGACCTTATAAAAGGGAAAGAAGTACTGAAAAAGAAAATATACTCACCCTTCTCAAAGACAGAGTATAGACTGAAGAATAATGACTAAAAGAAAAAGTATGTGCCAAATAACACCTAACAACCAAAACCTGACAGAGAAAATAATACAGGTCCAAACAAGCATATAGATGAAAAATAGAAAAGAGGAATATAGGAGAAAAGGAATGATCACATTCCCAAGCAGCACAAATCTTAGGAAGAAAAGCCTGGTCCAGATAGAGAAGTAACTAAGTACAGTGAAAAAGAGTGCAGAAAGCAGTGAAGGGACATACATCTGAATGACAGCAACCACACACCAGAAAGTGAAGAAAGTATGTCTTGAGAGACAGATAGTACAATGAGCAAGAAGCCAACAGCTTGAATGAGGTATGTGAGAGTATGTAAAACTACATTAAGGTCTCAATCAGGTATTGGATTCAAACAAGAGGGTCACTGAAGAAAGAAGGATTGGAACAAAGTAGAGAGGATAGGAAAAGAAAACACATGGCAGTAACAGGAAAGGTCAAATGTAGTTGACAATGGCACCAAATAACCAGCTATGTTAGAGACCAACAATCTATTATCAAACAACTAAGTGAAAAAGGCTGAAAGATGGGCCATAGAAGGACAGCCTGGAGGAAAGGAGTGGTGAATGGACCAATGTCAAAAACTCACCACTTCTATTGATAGAAGGGCAATGTAGAAGGATGACAGGAATGGAATAAGAAGAACTACACAACCTGAGGGTGATGGACTGGACAAATCACCCATGTGAAGATAAAGGGATGACACCCCTGGGTGACTAAGAGATAGGGAATGTTGGAGTAATAGAAAGTGGAATTGGACAGAGGAAAAGGGGACCTAGATGCCAATTGACAAGGGAGATGAAACCAGAGTTGTTAAGGTTAAAGATGCACCACCAACAGAAGTGTCGCATATGAAAGTGAGGACACGAAGGTGGAAATGAAGAGGAGAACAGGCATTTAGAAAAATGTGAATTTAGTCATGGTTGAAAGCATTGACCACTAAAGCCAAAAAAAAATGAGGAATAAGAGACCAAAAGCTTGGCATTGAAAGAAGTGGCAAAGGCATCAATGAGGAGTGTGACCAACTGAGAGCAAATCCAACAAAAAACCTGAGGGTAAAGAGACCACTCCATGGGCAGAATCCAATCTGTCCAACAGATGTGATCCACAATGAGGTTTAGAGCTTTCGGCAAATGACAAGCTTAGAAATGTACTTGATGGGAACAAACCCAAAATAGCAGGTTCAATGTATGGAAGTAGAGCCCTGATGTTTGATGTAAGAAATGACCAAAGAATTGTCAGAATGGATCACGACTAACCGATCCATGAAAAAGAGGTAGAAAATAAGAACTTTTCCGGTGAATTGTGAGAAGTTCAAGGATATTGATGTGGAGTGAACATTCCTCTGGAGCCCACATGCCTAAAGTCAGTTTATCAGTCAGAAATGCCTGCCATAGTACTGAAATTACTGAACCACCAGAAGCCACCTTGAGAAGAGGAGAAGGGAGGTTCACAATCGAGGACAATGGATCCCAAGAAAGGTTCCACCGGTCCCTCAATGTCCATTGGAGGAGGCACATGTGTGGGTGGTTCAAGGGAAACCAGGGTCCCTAAAAGGGAAAAAACCTTATGTGCAGGGTGTAAACAAGAAGCACAAATCTTGGTGACTAGACCTTCTATCGCTTGCAGGTGAAATGGTGAAAGCTGAGCCCAAATAAGATGAGAGTTGAAGAATAAGCCCAGGTGGACCAACTATTGGGTAGGCATGAGAAAAGACTTGGAAAAATGGACTAGCTAGCCCAGCCAAGCAGCTTCCTGTAAAAGAATGGAGGTGTGTGAGGAGTCATCCCAAGAAGGAGCAAGGAGAAGCCAGTCATCCATGTAATAATGGACCATTAGCCCCAGCCCATGAATATAGTGGGTACACGTTTCAACAGCTCAAATTATGAAATACGAAACAGATGCAATGCAAAAAAGTAGAGCATAGAACTGCAAGACACAATTCTGGTAGATGAAATAAAGATAATGTCTGGAGGATGGGGCAATTGGAATATGTAAAAAAGCATCCCACACATTGACCTTGGCCATCCACAGATTGGGTGAAAAGGATCACTGCAAGGAAAAGAAATCCTCCATCTGGAACTGTGGAATGACTAGAAACCAGATGAGAGATGATAGGTTGATAGCCAGACACCGGTTCTTGATCTTCTTGGGGACAACAAAAAGAGTAAAGAAATGTCTTTTAGTAGGAGTAAATAACCTCTCAATGGCATTCTTAGCCAAGAGATTCAAGACTACATCCTCAAGATGCTAAAAATAAATGGGGCCTAAGGGAGGAGGAAAGGAAGTAGTAGGGGAAGGAGAGAAGTGGAGGAAAAGGTTATGGGTGAGGACCTTAAGAACCCATCTGTCAGCTGCAAATAGAGACCAATGTTGGGGAACAAAACAGAGGGGCATATACTTAATAGTCACTGACATGACAAACAACGACCTTGACAGTGGAAAGTGTTAGGAAAGGAAGAAGAAAATTGGGAAGCTGGAAATGGTAGGGGAGATAAGGATTTAGTAGGCCTAGTGTCTGGAACAGAAGGGAGAGGTTTAAAAACCAAGGGCTGATGACAGGTTGCATTGCCCTATGTCTCTATGGTGCCAGGAACACTCTGAGGTCCTGCAGGTGGAGAAAATGAGCCCAAAAATGTCCCAGAGATAAGAATGAAGCAGGTAAACATTAGTTAGAAGAGCATCTGGACCCAACAAGTCCAATTAGCAGAAAGACCAAGTAATGAAGGATAGAGCAGAAGTAGTAGTATAGGCCAAAGTGGTAAAAATGATAGAACTAACCTCTCAAGAAAATGCATTTGGAGCATGATGAAGTGCCTGAATAATAAGGTGAACGGACGAGAGGCAATATAAGAGGGTAGTGAGAAACGTGCAAATGTAAGAATATTCGGCATTAGAAAGTTAAGGAGTCCCACCCACTCAAGCAGGTATAAGATATTATAAAGATTGGGAATCAAGAAAAGGAAAGGAAGAATGGCTGTAAGCCAGGATAAAAGAGTCAAGCAGGTGAGGAGAACAAGATTTGTGAGTATAAGTATGCGCTTATTCAAGAAACGAGTCAGCATGAACCCTAATATGAGGTGAAGGAGGGAAGAGAAAATTATAATGAGAATGAGTTTTTTGATGTAAAGAATGGGAGAAAGTAAAGAACATATCAGTGAAACCATATAAAAAAAAGAGATTGAAAGATTAAGTTTCAGCTACAGATAAAACAGTATCAAGAGTAAACCTTGGTTGGGGAAACAGACAGTCAAAATCACAGTCATCCTGGCCATGTTCAAACTGAGAAGAAGGAATGTAAGTCGAATGGATAGAGTGCATGAGGGAACCCAACATTTCTTGAAAAATGGCTGTCACATCCTCTTCAGACAACAAGCCTCAAGAAGCAACTGCAGCCACAGGTCCCAAGTTAGTAACTTTGTCACTATCGCAAGATGAAGTAGATGTTACCATCATTTGAGAATCCATAATGGATAAACAGAAGTTAAAAAAAAATATATATATTTTCTACTTCAGTAATGAGAAGAAAGAATCAAGTAATATGAACAAAGATAGAATCCTGTTCACAATATCAAATCTCATGTAATTGAATAACAATGAAAAATAAAAAAGCATGTCTGTTCAAGATAATGCCAAGTAAAAGAATGAAGTTATTTTGAGCACAAGTGCTTAATGAGAGTTACTATGCAAGGAGGTTGTGTTGCCTTCCTATTGGTGGAGGGTTATCATTGTATGATGATGTCATCATGCACTAGTACAGTTAAACATGTGATTTGTAGGTGGAAATTAGCTGAACACTAATGGGATACAAATTTCAAGTTAATCTGTGTGAATAGGTATTGTCTTGGAAATGACTATTTTTTCTACAAGTCACGACTCTGGCACAATTAAAATTGTTGATTATATGGAGAGCTGTTAAAGAAATTAATGATAAATTTAAAGTATTTTCAAAATGTAACAATCTTTTTACTAAGAGAAGACAACTATAAAAATTACACAAGTTTTTAATTGATTAATAAAAAAGTGTAGGGAAAAAGGAAGGTAGGAATATCTACTTGTAAAATGATCTAACTTTCATTTGTGATGTATGGTTTACTTTCAAGAGAGCTATTGTATAATGTAGCTTACTGGACAAACTCTAAAAATCTGTTCCAATAAACACCGTGTTTATAAAATCCCTTCTGTAAGCCTGGTTAGTATCAGCAGTCATTTCATGAACTGTGCACTTCAAAGGCTTAATTGTTTTAAAGTTCTTTATTCTAATATTTATTTTTTGAGATCTGTAGACAAAAATAATGATTATTTCTATGAAATTTATTATGTTACCTTATTGAAACCCTTTTTAAATATATTTTTTTAACTAAATGGAGGTTACAAACATGCTCGGTAACAAATGTTTTATGTGCAGCTCAAAAATACACTTTAAAAACTTTCACACCTATAGGTTGATGTAACTAGTCTAAATCTATTTAGTCTTTTAGTTGCCATAAAATATTTAAGATATGTGACATGCACATTTGCAGCATTCCAAATTCTATTTTGATGACTTTGTAATACATGTTTATCCATTATTGATATCTTTGATAGATGATGACAACTTATGTGTTTGTGTGTTTGAATATTTCATACATGATTTCTGTGACATTACTAAAATGTTTGACTTTAATTAATTTTGTTGTTAGTACTTTAGAAAGAGCAATATGACCAAACATCTACATAACTCAGTATTTTTACAAATTTAATAAAACTTTTAGTAAACCTCTTATTATTATTTAAGCCATAATTATTAGTAATTCTATGAAAATTAATACATCTTTTTAATTGAATAAAAACAGATGACTGTGATAACATCTGAAAAGAATATTAAATAAGGTTTTTTTTCTTAAATTTTATTACTCTTATCAAACTATAGTTCTATCAAATATGTAAGTTTTAAGTTTAATTAGTATCTTTTATTAAATTATGCAGTTTTGTACATAAATCCCACAAGTTAGAAACAGAGAAGTGCTTCTCACCATAAGGATTCTTAGCAACAGTTGCTCTATCTGTTTCCAGTGGTTCTGATTCTCCTTCATCATTAATAGCTTTCACACGGAATTTGTACTTCTTTCCTGGTTCTAATCCAGGCACATTAATTTGGTTTTGATCTTTGTCTGCTCGTCCTACTGGAACCCAGCGACCAGTTGCAGTGTCCATTTTCTCCACTTGATATCCTTGAAGAGGCATACCACCATCATCAAGAGGTTCAGTCCACTTCAGCTTGCATCCATGTGCATGAACATCCAAGACATCTAATGGTCCCTCTGGTGGTGATGGTTTATCTATAAATGACGAAAATTAAGTGTTACACATAATTTATTCACAAAATCTAAGTTCTCTTGGATTTTCACATATAAATATTACATTGATATATTTCACAATTATTTTCCTTGAAAAACTGATACCTTAAAAGTAACTCAATAATTGCTGAATGAAGTGTAATCTAACAAATGTAAAAATTGTTTGTTTCTGATCTTCCAAAATTAAAAACCTTTGGTCCAAAATATTGTAAATTGATCAGCATAACATTTTAACCAACTTTCAAATGGCAACTTACCAAGTACAATTACATCAATATCTTCTTCATCTTTTCCAGAACTGTTGACAGCTGTGATTTTGTACTTTCCAGATTCTTTCCGGGTTAGGTTATTCAACTGCAAATGTGTATGGTAATCTTCATTGTTGATTTTCACTTTGTCACTTGCCTCCAATTCCTTGTCCTTAAATGTCCAGGTCAAGGTTGGAGGAGGTTCTCCAATAACTTCTACATCCAATTTAGCACTTAGACCAGCCTTAACTCTGATGGGTTCAAAGATGTCTCGAATGATCTTTGGTGCCACTAAAATTAAACAGAAAAATTAAAATAAGTAAAATAACAAACATAATATAAACCCCATAATAAAGAGAATATTTTAATTCAACACCAATTATCAAACTTTCAATCACATTAAAATTTGAATTAATAACAGTGGAAACAGATGAATAATTTGTATTAAATTTTAAATATATATATATATATATGTGTGTGTATAATTGACCTCTTTTTATTTGTTTATCTTAGCATAAAAATATTGACAAAAAACATTTTACGCTGTGTAATAGTGGCTTTTACAGGTTATATTATAAAAATGGTTTCTTTTAAAAACATCTGCAATGTAAATAAGTGAATGCTTAAAAAAAAGTTTTGAAGTTAGTTACAAATATATTTATAACTAATTTTCTCCATTAATATAATTACATTTATATAAAATTTGCTAACTTCAGCAAAAATAATTCCTCGTGTATCAATCACACTGCTTAAAAATTAATTTACTTTCAATTTAAAAATCAAACTACATTATTTTAGATTTTCAGTATCAAACAATTAACTCTGTTTTGACACTTACAAAATCTTGCCTTGGCAATATGATTTCCTGTGGGTTCACTAGGTTCACCTGGTCCAGCCTTATTGACAGCTCGAACCCGGAATTGGTACTGTTGATCTTTAATCAGACCTGGAACAGTTGCTTCAGGGTTTGGAGTATCTGTTTCTACACATGGTTCCCAGTCTGCACCAAATCGCTCTTTTTTCTCAATTACATAGCCTGTAATAGGGGCACCTCCATCATTCTTAGGTGCCTTCCATTTTAAGTCAACACGCTTCTCATCCCAGTCAACAATCTCAGGTGTTGTGGGAGCACCAGGTTCATCTAGAAAATAATGATTAAAACTGCAACATAAAAGAAGCTACTCCAAAAGAGAAGATTGTTCATTTGTTGTTAATTTCATCTGCAAAGGTATTCAATTACCAGGTCTAACTGTTGATTAATATGACCATCAGACCAGGTAAATTCCATCACATCAAGTCCTAACATGTTTGTTATTTTTAATAATTTTTATATTGTGAATGTATTTTCTAAGCTGGGGAAATAATTGTTTTTAATGATCACAACTTTTATTCCAAATTTTAAAATTATACAAAAACTTACTTTGGGCTGAATAGTGTTGTATCTCATGCAAGATAAAACTACACTTGCATAATCTTACATTTACATTAGAGGACAGTATGTTAGAAAAAGTGGCACTTTGCATGTTACAAATAACAACAACAACAATCTCTTGTAGCTTCTGTAGTCTTAATGTAATAAATACTCAAGCTTACCATTGAGCCACTAAGGGGCAATACTTCATGCCATACTTTTAACCTTCATGTCAATTCCTAAAGCAAGTATCTCACAAATTAATCTACCACCTAACTGCTGAGAATAAAGTACTCTAACAGTTTTTGTCTTAAAATCAGCTATCCCCAAACCTAACTTATTAAATATGAATAATCAGTACTTATATATTATTTAAAATTTAATAAATAATTAAAATCAACGTTTTTATTTACATAATTTAAAAAACTTTATTGATTTTAAAGTGGAAAACATTGATGGCTTCAATAAAGTTTTTAAAATTGTGTAAGTAAAAAGATGTTGATTTTAATTATTTATTAGATCCTAACTTATCAAAATCATTATTTAACATACTGAATATTTTTCAAATATCTAAATAGTTTATGAAGTCCACATGAACTAGAAGAAAAATTTTAGAGGATTAAAAAAAATAAGCTATAAGAATTATTTTTTTGCTGATAGATTATTTTTTAAAAAAAGAAAGGAAAATTTATTAATTTGCCCAATATTTTGAAGTTTGAAAGTAGGTTGTATGATGCACAAACAACATTATACATACCATAAGGATTTTTTGCTGTAGTAGGTCCGTCAGTCACTAGAGGGTCTGATTCACCCTCGGGGTTTACTGCTTTTACACGGAATTCATAATCCTTGCCAGGTGTTAGACCCTTTACATCCATTTCTGGGTTGTCTGAGTCAGTACGGCCAACTGGAAGCCAGTTGCCTGTTTCTTTGTCCATCTTCTCAACAACATAATGTTGGATGGGTTTTCCTCCATCATCTTCAGGTTTGTTCCATTTCAGTTTACAGCCCTTAGCATGTACATTCTCTACCTTTAAAGGACCTTTAGGTTTTGAAGGTGCTCCTGTACACAGTAATAAAAAGTGAGATTTAAATTATAACTAAAGCTTGATATACCAGGTAATATGATTTATTTAAAAACAGATTTAAAACTCAGTGATGTATCTTATTCGATACTTCAGTAAATGTACATTAAAAACATTAAGTTTAAAAATCAAAGTTTTTAAAATTCATGTTTTTGATGTACATTTACTGAAGTATCAAATAGGATATATCATTTTACGATAACAGAAGGAACACCATATATATATATATATTAACAATTAATGTAATCAATAATTTGAAAGCTATTTATTTATATATATATATTGCAATCTTCTATAAAACAAACTTAAAAGTATAGTTAATACAGTAATTTAAAACATGCTTTATTCAAAATAACTTTAGTATTTCTATACTATAGCTAAACCATAATTCAATTGGAACTGACATACCAAGTCTCATGGTTCATGAGATATGATACACACACACACACAATATTTTGATCAAATATTATAACAAGTCAATGACAAAGTACCTAGTACTATAATTTCCACTTCTGCTTCGTCCTTTCCATGTTCGTTTTCTGCTATGATAGTGTACAGACCAGTGTGTTTCCTGAGTGCATCAGTAATGTTTAATTTTGTATTATAATCAACATTGATTATCTCCACATGATCTTTACTTTCCACAACCTGAAATATGGAGTTTTAGATATATATTCATTTGTTCCTAGATCATATCAACAAATAAAAAGACAAAGCTACAAAACCTTCTCAAGAAAAAAACATAAAAACCTGTAAAAATTAGGAGAGTAAAAGTCTTTACAATTAGACATATATGTAATTTTTTTAATTACTATTCTACAGACCTAGAAATCAACAACATTTCAAGTAAAATATGTTCATATTACTAAAAACTAATTATTTTGTAGCATTTTTTCAAATTAATTTTTGAATTGATTCACATCTCATTTTTGAATGGTTTTATTAAAAACCTATAAACATTAAAATTTTTATACTTAAACCATTTCTCTAGTAGCACAGTCGTGGTTTATTGTAAGACTTATTTGTACTTACTATTTTTGAGCATCTAATAACATTAAGTTGCTATTCTCCTCTGAAACCTACTTTTTTTTAAAATATACTTAACTACCATTTAAGCTACAAAAAAATCTTTCGTTCCTTAATGTTTCTTTGCAAAAATGCATCACCAAGTGTGGTTACCTTTTTTTTCAATATCCATGTCTGTTTGTGACATATATTCTCTTTTGATATACATTATAATAATATATTTGTTGTGGTTCAAAACAAATAGTTTGTTATCTGCTTGTTTGTTAATTTCCGGTAGAAATTCTTTCCGAGGAACTTCAGTGATACGAGTCCTTTCTTGATTAAATCAGTTTATTCTTCCTCATACAAACTTTTAGCACACAGTAATTTCACAATCAATACATTTCTCGTCACTTTAAACTTAACTACTTTTATGATACACGCTATAAATCACAGCGATTCACAATCTCGATAATTTCACACACTAGCTCAAAACAGAATCATAGATTACCCGAAATTCTCTTCATTCAATTCTGCAGGCTTTCTCTGCCAGGCTTATATGCTATCAAAAAGGCTTCGATAAAATTCGAGGAGTTCCCTGATCATTCGAGAAACTCATTCACGCATGCGCTAGCAGCGTCATGTGACTTCCACTGTTGTAACAAGTTTAATTGCATTTAAAGATTAGTTAACAGTGTAATGTTTTAAAGCATGAAAATCTATTAGCTAAATAAAAAAAATATTTTTCATATATATTTGTTTGTTTTGGAGATTCATCATTATCGAAAGATAGCAGTTAACACTGTGGTACTATAAAATTATGTAATTGTGCTCTACAAACATTACCTGAATGCAATGTTTTCAGCTGACTCAACATTCTACTATTTTCTGATTGGGTATTTAGGCTGACATACGGAATTACTATCTAGCAAGATAATCATGCTTCGATCATCAATGTATACTATGTTTAGTTACTGTTATATAATGATTTTGGCAAGTGTAAACAAATTATGACCCATAATTTACGGACTTAGTGATTTAAGAAAGTTAATATTAGGTAGAAGCTATCAGAAGAAGACAGCCTTCTGGTATGATTTGTAGCATAACAAATTTGTATAAGAATTACACAATAAAAAGTCATGGAACTTTAACTACTGAGTTAGTCTTCCATTTCAAGTACCTTTTCATGGAGATTTTTTCCTTTGTTCCCTTTAACAGACTTAATACTCTTTCACATAAATATACATTATTAACTGTGGTTACCTTCTTTTTCAGCATCCAAGTAACTTTTGGTGGAGGTTCTCCTTTGATATCCACATCCAGTTTAATATTTCTACCCTTCTTTACTGTCACGGTATCTAGGTTGGTGCGATCTATACGAGGTTTCACTGAAAAAAAAAGAGGTGGTTTAGATAATACTTTATATTATTTAGTTAAACTTCAAGTTCTATAAATAAGGTAACTCACATAATGTTGTATATAATTTATACACACTCAAATTCTAAAAATGACATGAATGAGCATATGATGTTTATTATTTATATACACTTATTTCTTAAAATGAGAAAATTAAGGTAATACTAAGATAATAATGCCTTATTATATCCATGCACATTTAACTTCCAAATATTTCTTAATTTGTATTAATTTGTATAATGCAGATAATTCTTATCACATATTTCGAATGTGTTAATGCTAAATGTGTTAGTTTTATATAACGAATAATTCAATTCACAACTTTGTTTCTCATGTCAAAGTTACATAATGCCTCATTTTTTCTTTTTTAAAACTGAAGTAAAACTTTCTGGTTAAAGTAACTTACATCGTCGATGTTTCACCAAGTGATTCTTTGTTGCTTCACTAGGTTCTCCAGGTCCTGCTTTGTTGATGGCTACAACCCTAAACTGATATTCTTGCCGTTCTTTCAGGTCAACTACTTTGGCTTCTAGTTTATCTCCTGGCACCTCAAGAGCTTTTTCCCAGTTCAAGTTGAACTTTTCTTTTTTTTCAATGACATATCTTGTGATGGGAGCACCACCATCATTAGCAGGAGCATCCCACTTAAGGTCCACACTTTTGTTATCCCAGTCAACCAATTCTGGTGTTCCTGGTTTCCCTGGTTCATCTGGGAACAGTAAAAAAACATAGAACTCTTACAAGGACATATGTAGTCAAAAAATAACAACAATACAACCTTGTTTAAAATATACGTATTTTATAGTAAGTATTAAAACTTTCATTAATTATGGTCTAGTTTTCAAGCATGAAATATGTTACTAGTAGAATAGAATGATTATTATCAAAGTTTTAGTGGTGTTCTTTTGTGGATTTGTTTATGATTGAAATCAGTTAGCAGTTTACTTTTTACACAGAGTCTGTTCTGTGTTTATAGGCTCAGAAACATTTCATCAGGTCAGGTCCTTTGTTTTTTACTGTTTTACTCATTGACTGGAGTTCCATGGTCAATTTAATTGTTGTCGTTTTTTTTACTTAAGCTTACAATTGTTCTTACTGACATAAAAAACTAGTGTCTAGCATGCTGAAAAGCTATTCTCAAGAAATTACATGTATGGTTTACTATTTAAACTATGTATTAAAAACAACATAATTTCCCCAAATTCATACACAATTTTAAGCATAGGTTATAACCCATAGTACTTGTGAACATGCTGTGTATTTCCTTTACTCAATAACTTTCAAAAGTACATAATTTTTGGAATGAGTTTGTGAAAAAAAATATAAAACAATGAGATTTGACTCTATTTTTAGTATAGTCATAGATTAAGCCTAAATCATTGTAAGTAAGTTTCATATTACTAATATGAATCACCTCTGTTCCTGAGAAAATACATTTTGTGAGTAAGTTACTGTATCTATTCTTTTACAGAAAATCCTCAAGTACTTTTTAGTATCTGTGTAGCTGTATCATTAAGCACTATTATTTTTCAGTGTCTTTTAATTCAGACATTACCATAGGGATTCTTTGCAATGATTGGCTCAAGTGTCTCCAAGGGTTCTGAATCTCCTTCATCATTGATAGCTGCAACACGGAATTTATATTCCTTCCCAGGTGTCAAATCTGTGATCTCAAATTCTGGCTTGTCACTTTTGCCACAACGTGTCCAGCGACCAGACTCTTTGTCGAACTTTTCAATTTCATACTGTTTGACTGGAGTTCCACCATCATCTTTAGGTTTTTTCCACTTAAGCTTACAGCCTTCCTTGTGGACGTCTGAAACCTCTAATGGTCCCTCAGGTGCAGTTGGCTTTCCTGTGAGAAAGATAAACCAAAAATATTGGTTACAAAATGAAGATGTGAAGCACAGTGTATACTGGTGATAAAAAAAACTAACTTTTATTAATTTCATGGCAACTTTAATATATGGAAAAAAAATCCCTGTATATAGGCTATTGCATTACCTATGTTTTGATGATAAAAACACTATTATTCAAATTCCAATTTAAAGGAGAGAAAAGTTGACATTCGTTATTTACCAAACATAACGATAACCCTATAAACAAAGTCTTTCAGACAGATGGAAGTATTTGAATCATTTTATATTTGGAATGAGAAGAAGGAAAGAGAGACTGATCACCCACCAAGAACTGTAATATCCACAGAAACAGAATCCTTGCCAGAGGAGTTGGTAGCAGTGATTGTGTACCGTCCTGAATGTTTTCTACTTGCTTTAAATAATGTGAAATCACAGTGGTAGTCTTTGTTGTCAATTTTAATATAGTCATCATTGGAAAGTTTGGTTGCAGCCTGACCAAATGTCCAGATGACATCTGGGGGTGGTTCACCCTTGATATCCACTTCATACTTGTGTGATCTTCCTACTTTAATTGTCACATTTTTCAATGTGCTTCGGTTAATCATTGGTTTCACTAGAAATAATAAAAGTGATATTTCTGTAAAATTACTCTTTAATTTAATTACCCATAAATGTCCATATTCATAGTTTATATTTCCAGATAAAAGCACGAACAAGTTGTTTGGGTATGGAATACTAGCAAATTTGTCGTTGAAGTTAAAAATGCATCCTCAACACCTTAAAAGTTATTATATAAGTTAGAAACTTGTTTTATTCTAAAAGAAAATCAATGCTAAATACCAAGTCTACACATCTTATGCAGACTGTTAAAAGTGAAAACTTAATGTATTTGAAATTTTACTAACTTTTTAAAGTTCACATCACAATTCACTTATCAAATACTCCAAATAATCATGTAATCAAGTGAAAAAGCCTTTGTTCAAAAATACTATTCCCATTCATGACCCTCTATTTAAAAATTAACTTGTTGAATATATAATGATGGGTTGTACTTTACAGCAAATAATTTGTTTATAAAAGTACATTCTTTACAATTTTAAGTTCAAAAATAAACACTTTACAAAGTACAAGCAACTTATTCAGTCAGCACAAAAACAAAAACTACTGAAGAAAACAACATACAATATCTGTGTTTTACAAGATGATTATTGGTAGGGTCACTTGGTTCACCAGGACCAGCAATGTTCACTGCTCGCACACGGAACTGATACACCATGTTTTCTTTCAGGCCCGGCACTCGAGCTTCAGGGGTAGTGTCTTCAGTTTTTAAAGCCTCTACCCAATCAGCACTAAACTTGTCTTTCATCTCAATGATGTAGTGTGTGACTGGACGACCTCCATCATTCTCAGGTGCCGACCATTGAAGGTCAACACGTGTGTTATCCCAGTCTACTATGCTTGGAACAGATGGTTTATCAGGTTCATCTATAAATAGCAAAGATATAAAAAACTTTTATTCAAAAAATAATTTTATTTCTTCTTTTAAGTTAAATCATACTGTTGACCAGAGAGACCATAAAATACTTGTATTTATCAAATGAATATTGATTCAATGAATAATATATATATAACAAAACCAACTGAATTTTTATATCGAGAGAGAGATCAAAATAGAAATTTCATCCACTGACAATACAATGTTTTAAAACATGACATTTATTCTATTATAAGATAAACTGATTATCTTTGCTAACAGCACTTGCTGTCAATGTCACCCAAGTTTGAACACTTCTCTACACAATATTTGGTAATGTTCATATACTGAACAATAGTTTTTATGAAGTTCTTCATGTATTGAAAATGTGGTTAAAGTTCCATAACTTCAGAAATTTTATGTGTCCTATCTGGGACTTCAACCCATGTTTCCTGATGCTTTATTATAACTCTCCAGCTTGACCATCACAATATCCTTGTACAATGTAATAAACAACCTGTTTATGCACTGAAACAAAAATAGAACTTGCCATAGGGATTCTTTGCTAAAATTGGTTCAGCCATTTCCAAAGGTTCAGATTCACCCTCCTTGTTCACAGCTTTGACCCTAAACTTGTACTTCTTCTTGGGTGTAAGTCCATCCACTTTGATGCCATCTTTGTCTGGTCCGACTTCTCCAGCTGGAACCCATCTTCCAGTTTCAACATCCATTTTTTCAACAACATACCCCTGAAGCTGTTGGCCACCACAATCTTTAGGTCTTTTCCATTTAAGTTTGACGTGATTAGCACGCACCTCTTCCGCTTTCAGTGGGCCTTGTGGTGGCATTGGCTTATCTGTAGATAGATTATGAAACTTAAACAAAAATATGTGATATTTAAGTTTCCTCATTTATAAAATATCACACATGCATTTCAGAAGTTCCTTTCTTAACAAAATTAACTTCATTAAAAGTATATATATATACATTCTCTGTTGAACAAAATCATGGATTATGAGTTTCTTATCTAACATAATCACTTCAACCATGGATGTATCCCTTCCTTACCAACCATAATCAATTCATCTTGGGAGTATCAGTTCCTTACCTAATACAACAACTTCACCAACAGATGTTGCAGTCCCTGAGCTGTTTGTTAAAGTCAATGTGTATTTCCCACTATCTGCCCTAACAGCACTTCTCACTGTTAACATTGTATCTTTCTTTGTTTTATCAATGGTGATCCTGAAATTAAATCAATGTAAAGTATGAATGTTTTTATTTTTGTAAATTCAAATTACTATAGGAAGGATTTAATAGTTAATTTTTTCACTTAAATGTTTAAAAACTTCCTTAGGGATTAATTTTTTTTAGCATACAACTTTTAGTTTTAAAGTTTGTTTTTGAATTTTGTGCAGAGTTACATGAGGGCAATCTAAGCTACCCTAAGATTGCTAGTCAAGAGCCCTAACCACCTGGCCATGCCAGGCCTTTAGTTTTAAAAATCTTGATATGATTTATCATAGCTATTATGTTATACAAGAAAATATTCTTTTTAATAAGGTATTCGGCATACTCTACTTTTTATAAATTCAAAGGAAAGTATCTGTTATTTCATAAATGCTTTGATGGTCAAAATATTTTTAAAAACTACGTGAAATTACGAAAAAAATCCCAAAACACATTGTTTACACAAATAAATTATATATAATATCCACATACTGCACTATATGGAATTTGTAGTTGAATTATGAAATTAAAAACTGATTTTCTTCTAACTTTAAAAGTTTCTTTCTTATAATTTTGTGCCATATCATTACACTCCCTTTCCTATAATACAGAAAGTCATCAACATAATATTAAAAGTTGAAACAGGAACTTTTCCAAATCTTACCTATTTGAGGGTTTGATTTCTGCACCATTTAATTCCCAGAGAACTTCTGGAGGAGGCTCACCTCCAAATGTAATGTCATACTTTACCATTTGACCTTTCTTGATAATCAAGTTTGTGAGCTGGTCACCAATAATATATGGTTTCACTAGCAAATAAAATAAGAAGGAGTGGGTAAATGTTGTCATTATTCTCTTTGTTTGAGTTAGCAACATAGAGACTTGATATAATACCAGTTAAAACATAGATCTACAAAAAATATTCATGACTACTACATTCATATCATAAAAACTATTAGTTATTCCATGTCAATCTCAGTATTAGTATAAATGAAGTACTTTACAAAAGTACTTTTTGTGTATATTATAAAATGCTCATTTTTAAAACAAATAATTAAAATTTGTACAAACAAACCTAAGATACCGTTTAATATCTAAATAAAAAAATCAGATAATTTTGTGTAGCAATAAGTCTTTTAGATTTTTAAGAAAAAAAAATGTAGCAAATGTCATATTAATTTATGTGCTTCATATAAACAATACAGATAACAAATTCAAAAAATGTAAACAAATTAACATACATTTGTACCTAAGTTTTTTACTAAAATGTTTAATAACTTATTTATGGATTGATAAAGAGTTGAAGACTGCCAAAAAATTACCTTAAAGTCAACAGTCAATAGCAAAAGTAAATGTATAAAAATACAGAATAAAAATAACTCTTAAAATGATTGTGACTTATACTTTCAATAAGAAAATCACTTCAATAAATCTTTTTTTTTGTACTAAATTATTTTTAATTCCCTAAGAATATCATGAATAAGAAAGAATTTTCTACAAAGTTATTTCCTTCTTTGATTATTCATTTAGTAAGAAAATACCTACCAAACCGTGATTTAACAATCAAAGGCTTAGTGGGATCACTGGGATCACCAGGGCCAGCTTTATTAATAGCACGCACACGAAACTGGTATTGTATTCCTTCTTTTAACCCTTCCACTTTCCCTTTAAGTTGATCTGCTGGGACTTCCTAAGGTGCAATTTTGAAAAAATAGAACTTTATTAATCTATTCAAGATACTTCAATTTAGTCTTTAGTTAACAGAAACTGTAATCCTATTTTTACTTAATTTCTTTTTCTATTTGTTTATCTTCTAGAT